TTTTTTACTTACTTTTGCGCTTGTTTTCTCATATCGTTTTCTGAAGGAGAGAAAAACTCTTTCGCTTGCCGTTGTGCTATTTTGTCCCACTTCCCGGCGTTCTCTCGAAGTAGCTTTTCTCGAATTTCTGGTAGCTGAAAGTGTAAGACGTTTAAAAGTGTTTATATTTTTTTAGAAATGAACGAAAGTTTCGTTTTCGATGACACATGAGTCACTAAGGCATGTGGGATAAGCTCGGAGATCAGAGCATGCGTAATCAGTACAGTTACGTAGCTCAATTCTCAGACTCTTAGGATCAGCGACAACTGTAAAAGTCAACTGAAAAATGACCCAGTTCAACTAGAAACGATGTGCAGCTGTTTCGGCTTGAATACGCCTTTTTCCCGTTCAAAGCGAGCAACCGCTGCTTTAGTTGACAACAGTCTTTTATGCGCAAAGACCTAATTACTAAAAACAAAAGAAAGCCCGAAAAAATGTTGTCATTACAATGGCCCTATAAATTTGCATTTTCTCCGATTCTGTATTCCCAGAAGGTTCAAACTCTTGCTCAGGCTAAGCCTCAAATTGGTGAAGATTCAAATTTCTAGAGCTATTGTAATGCCAACATATTTTTCTTGCTTTCTTTTGTTCTCTACGCAAGTGAGTCTTTTGTCTACTAAAACAGCGGTCGCTTGCATTGAACTGGAAAAAGGCTTATTGGGCCATGTCATAAGGCGTATCAAGTTGATTAACTTGGCCTTTTCCCTTTCCCTCTCCACTGGGCTCCCTGTGTAGCTAATTGTTATGTGTATCAAACTGCAGTTCCTTAACATTGTACCTGTTCAAGAATAAGGTCCTTCTTAATYGCTGGAGGTTCCATAATAGCGAGGTGTTCAAGATATCGCTGTAAATCAACAAGGCTTGGAATTTGRTCCAAAAGAACTTCATTGAGGTGACCTCTTAACTGCAATAACAACAAACAATATATTACCATGGTAATGACGATCAGAAGGGTTATGACTACAGTAGTTATATATGATGATGATGACGATAATGATGGTGATTATGATGAAAAATTTATTACATGACAATAAAATAATCTCAATGACAACGATGTTGATGTTGATAGTGGAGACAAAAAATAGTAATGGTGCCAATATGATGACAATGATGATAGTTGATGCCACAAGTATAAGATTGATAGGTTTATTATTAGATTTAAAGTATTGGTCTTGTGTTTGATGGTCATGTTTAATAAATTGTAGTTATTTGTACAAACTGAAACATATTCATTTAAMAAACACAAAACTTGCACTTAATACTTCATCTCATCCTTTACTTGTTGACAAAGCTCTTATGTCATATTGATGCTAATGATGATGCGATAACGATGACATCATGAAAAATATCCACATACCTTTAAAATCTGTCCTTTTTTGTAGTCATTTAACTCATATTTTCTTTGACAATCTTCTTTCAATAACAAGTTAAACAGAGCAAGCCAAACCTTRAAGAAGAAAACAAATTTTAACCCTTTACAACACCAAAATATCATTCACACAAAATCATAAAATGTRRTGTACCTGTCCATCTGTTTTTGTCAGTTGAAGTCTTTCCCTCTCTGGAACAACTCTCCATTTTGTATCAATAAATTTTTCAAGTCTTCCTGCAAGCAAATAGATTTCCTTCTCTTATCCTGGTGCAAATCGTAGACAGGATCCTGTAAGATCCTGTAGGATCTTATTTAAGTATGGTATCCTAATTAGGATCCTATGTAGGAACAGTATCCTAACTAGGGTACTAATAGGATCCTGACACATCGATCCTAACCAGGATCTTGTCAGGATCCTGTATAAATCTTACATAAGAATGCGATCCTGTGTAAGATCCTATTCAAGATCCTACAGGATCCTTTTCCTAATTAGGATCTTACATAAGAATGCGATCCTGTGCAAGATCCTATTCCTATGCAGGATCCTAGCCAGGATTTGCACTAGGGTATATTAGTCTTGAATTCAAATCAATTTTGTTTTGAATTTCTGGTGAAATATGTCTTTACCTTCTTTAGTTCTTCTGACCCATGGTGGATTTTGAACAAACTGAACAAGTACTAGAGGCATATCTAGAAATAAGAAGACGGTTTGTTTGAATTTGAAATTGAGCTTCTCTACTGATCTGTGATTTGTTACTGAGGCAAGAATTACCTCATTTGAAAGCTCAAAAAAGCTATGGCTTTACAAATTGATTGTCTAAATTTAACGAAATACCATGTCATTACCATGAGTATTCAGCATTCTTGTTAAAACACTAAATGAGAGGCTGAAAAATATAATACATACAATATAAATACAAATAAGCAATGAATATCATTGATACATTAATTTTCAATGTTAAATGCCATATTTTTTTAAGGTTACAGCCAGAGATCATTTCAAACACTCTACCTATTGATGTGATCTGTGATGTAATTGAGTACTGAAACTGCTTTAACACATACTGTAAACTTTATTTCACTATCTTGTCGAGATAATTCCTGAAAAAATGAAGAACAAATTGTCAATTATATCAAAGAAACTTATCAGACGCGTACTGTATAACCACATGGCATTGCTTGAATTAACTTTTTCCATTAAAACAAACCTCTAAAGTAACATTTTTGTCATCTTTTGATGGTTTTTGCTCATCTTCACTGGATTCTTCTTGTCTGAAAGTATGATTATGAAAAGAAAGTATAAGTATCATCATGATACCCAGCTATTTTTTTACTCAAATATTTTATTGCTATCTCCAGAATAACTCTCCCACAAAATTCCTTCCAGGAAAATACTAAAATGTTGTCCTCTTATTAAAGTAAATACTTATTGATCATCATCCATGAGATTTCTAGCATTGAATTTTAATAAGCAATTCCCTTGAATAAACATCTGTTATCAGATGTGAAACATCTAAATTGTGCTTAAAATATTATTTATATTTACCTGGCTCTTAAATATGTGAATTTTCTATGACAGAAGTCCAAAAGATCAAGCACACTTTCTTCAGCTGCCTCACAAGATTCCTTAGAGATATAAATACAGATAGAAATAAATATGGTAAGAACATTGCATACACAAATGAATGAAATGCTTAGTGTTAATTAAGAACATGACGTATAAAATAATGGACAAAAAGGACTAAATTACAATGACTTGAATAAGGACTGCAATGAAAACACATTTTTACTACAAGGAATATGATAATGATGGTAAAATGATAAATAGTCAGATAGAAAAAGAATGAAACAAGTTTCAATATAAATATAATAGCATGTAATTGCCAGACAGTCCCCAGTCCCCTATCCTCATTAACTTGGTTAGGGGTGTGGTGCCCATATCAAAACCTTGACTTTATTCCAGACATAAATTCACCTTATGATACATTATGGTTTCTAGTAATCCTATTAAAGTTGCCTCATGGAACAGCTGAAAATAAACAACAACAACATTGAGACCTACATGTAAGATGTAATATTATAATTTACATACATTTGCAAGATGATTATGAAGAAAAGAGAACATCTTCTTGCCTCCTTATAAACACATCCTCCTTAAAGTTGCTCTTTGTGCATTGACACAGTATTCCAAGGCGTGCAAAGGAGATACTCAGTTTCAAAATATGCTCTTCAAAAACACAATGAATTTTTCCCCTCCCATCTTCTGTAAGGCTTACAAATGAATTCTCCAGGGTTACTACAGTAACACTAAAGTAAATCCAACAGTAGCAGAATGATAAACATTCAAATGACTTACTGCAAAATAGAGAGGTAATGTTGATGCTGGATTGAAGTCTTGGGATTTAATGATTTTTGGGAAAACTTTTGATTTCCACATTTCAATAGCTATTAGTTCATGAATAAGAACTGGAATCTGAAAAAATATTATAATTCTTGTTAGAAAACCAAAATCAACCAAACCCACAAACAGCAACTAAATGTTTACCTTTTGTAAGGTAATAAAATAGTCCTTTATGTATTCATCTGTTTGTGTGGATGCACATATGATTGCCTGAAAAATTGAAGGGGTTTACAGATTTATATCTTGAACAGCTATGAATTATATTAATATTAATTTGCAAAAGGGTAAACTACATGTACCACAACATGCAAAGCTGAACCTAAACGTAGATATATTTTATRAGATGGTCAAATGAGCTGCTTTACATGCGCATACCCATAATACCTTCTGATTTTGGGGGGTAGTTATTGTTATTGAAATCATTTATATTTGAATAACAATTRATTTTATTTGCATCACAAAACCTACCCCCCAAAATCAGAAGGTGTTATGGGTCATGTGCAAGTAGAGAATGTGGACTTGATGCGGATGTGCTTATTTAAAGTTTTTTTTCAAAATGATGGTCATTTAAACTGTTATAGCCCATATATTTTGGCATACCTGCATGTTGAGTTTTTCAACAAGCTCATGTTGTGACATCCATCTAAAGGATAAACTCATTCATTACTTTAATTAACTAATGAAGACATCAGTGACATGGTAAACTGTAAACGTTTTTACAATCGCATAAACTTTCACCATAATAATTCATTATTTAGAAAGAAAGAAACTTTTGGGCCCAAATTGAATTTGATTWACTAGTMAAAAAATACTTACTTTGGACTTCCAATTTCTGAAATGGGAAATGTTTTCAATTCTTGAACATAAAGTTCAGCTTCAGAAGCTAAAAGAACTGTCTTCATATCGGCCGCCATCTTTGTTTTTTTTAAGGAGCCATGGAAATACCGCTGTGTATATGAACAGTGGACTCATAAATATCAAGATGGCRGACGAGTTCAAGGTAATAATCGTTAGTGTTGTTTTATTTCATATTTACTAGATCGCAATAAATTTGCGAGATATTAGGTATTGATTTTGTTGTAATGACTTCTAAATGAGAGTACTGCGCGTTGAATATTGTCGAATTTTGTGGTATTTCTATTTTTCCATTCTTTGTCATGAAGTGTTGGACGTGCTTCCATTTAGACATGTGCCGAGATTTCTTTTTATTAAGACATATATTCAGCAGCTTCAAATTAAAATGCGAATTTTAAGAATCTGTTGGATTGAAAATCAGTGCTTTATGCTAACGAAAATCGAGTTTTATATATATAAACTCATTTGTTTTGATATCTGTAATCTGTAGCCTCGGCACTCAAGCACTGTKTTTGCATGTGATCAGTCAAATGATACAAGATACATCAGATGTGACTTCCCGCAGTGCTCTGAACATGGTCAAGGTTAGTATTGAGACAATACCAGTACTTAGTGTCCAGATTTGATATTAAGAAAGGGGTTGATGGATATCTCATTCTGGCAACATATACTCAATTAAAGATAATAACTCATATGATATTTATCCATTATAACAATTAGTTTTGTGTTAARAAAAATCCATCAACAGTCCTCCTCTCCACAGATTTTTTCCTCTTTAACCTCCCCCCTTAACCCTCCTCCCCCTTCCCCCTCCAGAAATGTCCTATATTTTTTATGTTTGTACAATATCTAAGGGATCATGACATAATATTTTCACTCTTTTAGCAAAGCCTTCGTGGATATTGAATACTCTGAAAAATGTTCKGATATTAGAGAACCATGTGGGGAAAGAAATCCACAACTTTATGAAAAGYCAGCCTCTACAATGTGTTTTCTCTGAGTCTGCCCACAAAACAAAGAGTRAGGAAATCATTTGCTCCCAGAAATTACCCACTGGAACTAAAAAGGTACAATAAAATACATATAAAATCTACATATCCTTTTTTGCATTTAAAATATGAAGCCAAAGTACATACAAAAAAAAAAAAACAAACAAAAACAACCAAGTCATTTACATTTATTTACAAGATTATTTGCCCTCAAGTTTCAAGACTTTATTGCAATTTCAACAACATTTAACTTGTATTCTTATTGGTAGTATTCTCGTCAACATATAACATCTTGTAWTTGTTTCCCTATGCAGGTATTAGCTATATTCAGTCTTAAGGATTCGCAATCCCAGCTTGGTGAYTGGCTTTCTCATTTCCTAGATGCTGCTTTCTCATCTGAATATGGTATGTTTGTTTTAGTTAATAAACAAGGTTACACTATGGTGGCAGTGGTTATAATTATTATCTTTAATGGTATTCACAGGCAATAAGAAGAAAGATTTCGTTGTTGTCACCCAAGATTTTGTAAGTCGACATGAGCTGATGAAGTCAATAGCCAACATTGAATTTTTAAAGTTTTACTCACCTAAAGGTAAAATATTAATATAACTAACAGTATGGTAAATAGCAAGAAAATTRTGTTGAATCATGCAAATTCAWGAAAGGTTGTTCTGCTCTTCCTTCATGATTTGGGCTGCATTATTTTTAAGGCTAGAGGGTAGAGTAGAAACTTCTGGAACATTGGTAATCAAGGTCTATAACCATTTTAAATATTGACTTATTAATTGATTATTAATTTCATTGGYAGTTGAAGTGACGTGCATATTAAGCTGTCATTCAAGTAGCCAAGGGCAAGTATTCTCCTGYACACCAACAGACATCAGTAAACTACATGGCTTTGAAGAATTCTGCTCTCTTCATGACTTTACATTAGCATGCCAGGATGCACTAGAAGACTTGTTATCAGGGGTGCATATATCATCATGTTTTACTCTCAAACTAGATTGTTCACATCAGGTTAGTACTTTAAAACAAGGAGTATGTTGTGACATGTGCAGATTCTTCATTGAAATAAAACTTGTTCCATAAACACATAATATGGACTCTCCTATAAACCTATTTAAAAAACGTTGTCATCGCCAGGGCACAGTCTACAGTCTTGAGCCTGCAGAATCTTGGGATTGCCATAAATAATTGGTATAAGAGATGGAAACTACTCAAGAAGGGAAAAACTTGCTGCACTAGTCTATTAAGGGTGGATCCATAAATTTTGAAAGAGGGGATACATCTATATATGTATTTCTATATGTATTGAAGCAGGACTTTGGAATAAGGGGGGGACACCAACCACACATCCTGCCCCCTCCAACCCCCTGGCACATCTCTTGGATCCTCCCCTGTGCATGTAAACATTGTTTCTTGATTGATGTCCATCAGAAAACAGAAACACATGTGACTGTTCTTTTGATCATTAATAGGATTGGCCTGTTGATTCTTCCTGGTTCAAGAGTAAACTGAAATGCCTCATTACTGGAAGTATAAGAGAAGTTTATGAAACTGGTTCCCAAGTGTGTGACCTGTACTTAGTACTCAGTACAATGTTAAGTTTAGCAGTACAAACATCAATGGGTTCATGTGGAGAGAGKTTGCAAAATGCCATTTACACCGCTCAAACAKATTCCTTCCCTGACCTGGCAATGGAAATGGGTCTTGAGGTTTTAGATGGGAATATAGTGGAGTCAAGGCTTCTGCAGCAAGGAGTTGAAGACCAGGTAATAAGCTTAAAGGATATTTCTGTTGTTTTTAGTGTATTTTTGGAAATTTCATCAAAATGTCTATATGTACTGTATCTCATGGAATATTTGACAGATAGAGCATGCATGGCCAACACATAGGCTTAAAGTRCCTATGATGCCTGACAAAATAATTCCAATTCTCTGTGAGCTGATTCCACATAAAGTAAATAATTGAATGGTGGAACATTTCTGCATTTCAGTGTTGCGTCTTTGAGTTTTTAAGGTTGCTAATGATAATAATACTTTCATCGATAATTAGGAATTTTATTTTTTCTTTCAAATAGGTTTCTCCTCCAATGCTAGTTGATTCAGAAGTGTTTGTTGCCTTGTTGGTGGAACAAAAAGCTGAAAATGGCGACCAACGTTCGCCATCATTAGTTTTATCACAAGCTATTGCAGCAAATCTTGACATGAGACAAGCATCAGATATACGCTGTTCTTACATGGTACTCCCAGTAAACATAGATAAAATATCATCCATCAAAACAAAGGCTTCATTGAGAGAAAAACTAAGYGAACTTCCAGTCAACAACAGTAAAGTTTTGTTTGTTGTATTAAGCCCTTCTCTTGCTAACCCAAGCACAGGGCTGACTGATTCTGTCAGGGCATGGAGCTCTAGCAGGGGTGGAAACAAAATATATGGCATCCACTTCCAGGAGATTTCAGCATTGCAAGCTTACTACATTAAAAATAGACTGAAAGAAGAAGTAGCTTTAAGTAAACATAACAAGAATTCTGTTGAAGGAATGTTCTTGGAGCATATAGCTATTACAGGTCTGGTGGACAGTGTGAAAAACCCACACATGGCTTATCCTTTGCTTCTGTACTTGATTCATCTAGCMATTGGTGAGAATGGGCACAGACAGCCCAGAAAACGTCTTTCGACTGGTAAGTATATTTTGTTTTATTCGTCACATAACTGTTCATGGTCATAACAGTCCAACTTTCCATGCTTTGATATATATGTGACCCTAGAAGCCTTGCAATCTATAAAGATTGAGAGGTAGGAAATGGGAACTGTTGCAGCAAGCTTATTGAACTGCTATTATTACCAATTCAACTTTATCGGTTTAAGAAAGAAATTGTGATTGTCGTAATGGCTGTTAATATTTTATAATATCAGGAATTTACTCCAAGAAACCATTAGTGGCAGGAACCTCACATTGGACCTTAGAGGAAGTCTATATGGAGTCATGTCACGTGATGTCTGGTTTGGCCAGGAAGTGTTCTTTACAAGTGCTTTCATTACCAGATACTACCGTTACTGTGGACACAAAGTCGCAGGACCAGGATTGTGTTCCAGTGTGTAGTACCGTTGATGATAGGGTGGTAGTATTACAAGCACGACCGTCATCTAGTGTTGGTTTRGACACCCCACAGGGTATGGCTAACACTTCAAGTGATGACAGTAGAACCGCTGTACAGTGCACTACAACAGATGAGCATGCGTCATCTTTTTGTAGATCAAGTCAAAGTATTTCAGGCCGAAAACGTTCGTTTGATAGTAGCGATAGGGAAATTCATTTTCTGAATAATTCAAAGTCGCTTAATGAACAGAATGAAGAAACAATTAAACCTTGCAAAACAACAGCAGTTAGGAAACCTGACATCAATAGTTTTTYTGTAAACATGAACACAGCAAACAAGTCCTCGGGGGCAATCAAGGTGCCACCTTTCAAAGTTTCAACCTCGGCGAACTCTAGTAGTTCAAATAGTTSCTATTCAARTTTTGCGTTAACTGAAGACTCTATTGAACATGAAAACAAAGCAGATACTATACGAACAGATTCACATAGTGATGTTATTGTAGTCGATGATGATTCAGATGACTGTATCAGCTCCAACGACAGCAATTCCAAAGGGATWCAAGCAGATTTCGCTCCTTTAAACCCRAGTCAAGTCTTCTATRATAACTTGCGAAGGACTGGGACAGCGGTGAAACGTTTAAACGAGGAAGAACTTGATACATTTATTTCGTTTGAAAGCGAGAAAAGAAWTAAGAAAGTGAAAAAACGAAAAAWAGAGCRCATCCTYGAAAATAACAAAACTGTAGAACACTTCCCTGAAGCGGACAWMRAGACAACGACACCTGAAAGCCCAACTCCAGTCAGTTCTTCGTCACGGGAGGAATCGAGTGAAGAAATCCCTTTACTCGCTAATGTAGATGAAGTATTAGTCACTCACTATGTGTTAGATTTGTCTGTGGACTTTAATCAACAGGTCATGACGGGCAGTATCGTTCTATTTATCGAGCCGGCAAACGAAGAAGCGACCAAAAAGTCGTTTCATCTCTGCTTGGATAGCACTTTGGTTAACATAGAGTCGGTCAGTGAAGTGTTTTTACCAGATGACTTCAAAGTGCCTTTCTTTGGACGAATTTCCGAGTCTCATGGACCGCGTTGTAGTGTGCAAGAAACAAAGAATAGCAGTGGTTCTGTTACAACTGTCATTGAGATCCTTGATGATGATGATGATGATGATGATGATGATGAAATCCAATCTCCTGACCAAAGTGATGCTAGTAGTAGTTTAAAGTCTCCTAACGGTGGAAATATCCAAAGTGAAAACCAAACTGGTCTGTCGCTTTTTCAGAGACTTCAGAATAATTATGGTATTGGTGTAGACTCATCTCAAGCCCCTGTAAATCAGCCCGACCGAAATTCACCCAATGAAACCGGTACTATCCCAACCAATGCAGACGGAAAGACAGAATCAGCCTCTCTTGACAGTTGCAGTGGACCAACATCTTTACCCGARTTTTTGGATCTACTTAATGGAAAATCAAGTAGTCAACAGCCGCTGTCATACAAGGGCTTAAAGTACTCGGTTTATGGATGGTGTGTTAAGGTCAATAAGGAAGGAGCAACAGGAAAGGCGTGGCCTAGGTGTATATGTATTAAGTACCAGACCTCTCCCGACGGACAGTCACTTACGTGGACTAAAGATCAAGACGGACGGTAATTATATAAAATATATATCAGTCTGCATTGAGGATTAGTCTCCTTATTGAGGTTTGGTGATGATGATGAATCATGATTTTCACATTAGTAATCAATTTTAATGATAATCGAGATGATGATTTCATATTGGTCACGTTGAGGCTATTGTGACGATGATGATGATTGCAATCGTGATTTTCGCTTATTATTTCTATTTGTTCTTAATAAACAGGCCRTGTGTTTTCTCACCTGGGGCTTACATAAACAATCGTTCCTTGATGCCTTGTCAAGAACCACCCGTTGCTATGTCAACATGGCAGGCAGCTATTCACGTGCCGAAAGGGTGCATGGTCTACATGAGTGGCTGTYCTATATCGCCTTCTTCGAAGGATGCGTCCACTGAGACAGGTCAGTCATGATTGATAGCTGTGTTTACGAGAGGAAATTAATATCTTTACAGATGATGAGCAGAACTACTACTTTGACAATGATTACGAGAATGGATACAAGGACGACATTTCAAATTGGTCTTGTGCCTGGGTTGGAATGCGGAATTATAGTTCTCTCTATTAAATTAGAAAAAAATACCAAGTTTACTGTAATTCAAAACTAACAAAAAACTCAACGCTGATTTTTTAAGTACCACTCTTACTTCGACTCCTTGTCAATGCCCGAAGTTCCCTAATGTGTCTTAAAGTGTTGAATGGTACTTTCAGTATTCAGTATTAAATCAATCTGCATAAAGCTAAAGTCGTTTCCATGTTAGCCACTCTCTGCCTCGTTTCTGTGATAGCCGTATCTTCTGAGCCTTTCATTTYATTTTTRTTTCTATAGTAACCCATTACTATGAGATGGATACAGCATTGCCMTGTTCTACTTTAGCATTGGCWGTAGGTTGGTTAGTCTAYCGTGAGGGTTCATCAGCACTGGTAMYGACTACAAAGGGATCCCAACGACACGTCCCTTGTCGTGTTATAGCWGTTCCTAGTTTGATTGAGCAGGCTAGTGCCCARTTGCTGGAACACTCGTCTAGGTACTTGGTGGAGGCCTGTAAGCTACTCGGYCCATACCCCTTTGATAGACTTGATCTCCTCATTCTCCCGAGATGTTTCGCATGYATGGGTCTGAAAAGGTTGGTTTTTACGATCAAAAGWAGTGGCAGCGTCCTGATTGATGTTGGACCAGTATCACCCAACATTGTTGGGCCARCAATGTCAATTAGTCTTGCGGCTCGAGTTATCCAAAAATAGACATCAATCTATGTAACTAGTATAGAAATAAAATAGACAGTCAGAAATTTCTTTATGTTGTTCAAAAATCACATTTCACATTATTTTCTTGCTCTCATTTGAGTGCCTGCTGTCAAATAAAACAGCGGACACCGTTTTTTAACGGGAATATAGAGCATACCGCGAGAAAGTGTTTCATTCTGYTGTTTTATTCACAGCCCAAACCTAGCCTTTCTATCACAGTCCATTCTCTCGAGTGATGGCAGTCTTCGACTGCGTGTAGCACACGAGGTGACCCACGCATGGTTTGGCCTATTGATTGGAGCCAAGGACTGGACAGAGGAATGGTTGTCAGAGGGCTTTGCAACGTATTTAGAGGATACGGTCCAGTCCCGCGCAGAAAATGTAAGAATCGTTTTCATTCTAATGACGTTCTAAAGAATCATATGGGAAAGGCCAATGAATTTCGCCTTAATACCTTTTTTTATTTATTTAGTGGCCCGAGGAAAAGGACCAGCACTATCGCGAGATACGCCAAGTGCTGAGATATCGAACTCTATCAGCAGAGATGCAAGTCACTGACAGAGATATGCAGTGTTTAAGGTGAGTTACTCAGAGGTCGACAGTACTGATGAGTTCTTATTAGTTATATTTTTCTCGAGATTTTTACTTGTCATACAGTAAAAACTATTTATTTCTGTTCCTATAGACCAAAAAAGACCCAACAGAATCTAAGTAAGTATACTTCTCTMACTATTTCCCATTTTCTCCACTGCGCCCCTTCTCTTCAAGCTGTTTCGCTCTCCCGTTTTCCCTTCTTTCTTAAGTGTAGKCYTGTAGAAACATAAGAAAATATTTCYCAACCTTTTAAYTTGTTGTTTAAGTTGAAAGAGCAGAGGAAACAACTGCACCTCCAGAAGAAGRCCAACCAGCGCCGTCTACAATCATCAAATATAAATGCTCCAAGAAATGGACCCAAGTTCACTACCTCAAAGTACGATTAGAATGATATTATTTATYAATAAGTATTGTTATGATATTATTATGATATTAATTTTTTTTGGATATTTCACCTCAACTTAACATTAGAACGTTCGTATGATGACAATAATCGCCTGTAACTTTATATCACTAGCCCGCGTTCCGGGTGGTCTGCGGCTTCGCGTGATTTTCAGCTCCGTAGTACCACACCCCACCCCAAGTTACACCCCATGTCAGCCATTTACGAAATATCGATAAAATAGAGTTAATTTACCCAAGTTCAAAAAAATAGAGTTAATTTATTTATGTTCAAATATTCGTATTCCAGGGTTATTTTCTCTTGATCCACATGGAAAACATGGTTGGTAGGGAACACTTTGAAAGGTTTCTTCATGACTATGTCCAGTTTTATCAAGGAAGTCTTGTTACTTCCGAGGTAGGTTGACGTAAATCATACGATGTTTGAAGGTTTCAAGTTCTTTCAAAATCACGGAGCATAGCATCATTTGTAGCCACACCTTCAAACCCCGTCAAAGTCAGAAGTACATAATGTACTTCTGTCAAAGTGTAACTGTCACGCGTCTTCTCTCCACTAACGCTTGACCGACAATAACAAGGGCTATAAAGGGGCTACTGGGTTGTACACTGTATGGTATTGTTCTTATATCAGTTTATTTTGTCAGGATTTCTTTGGATATTTCATGCAAAGTTTTCCAATGCTAGAGGGGTAAGTATGAAGCCAGAAAGTACCTTTTGTATATCTGGATAAAACATTGCATAGACCCTGAGACTTYCATCCATGCCCCTTCCGGCAGGCATAATCTTCGCGCTYTTAAGAGGAAATTGAGCAGTATGATGCGCGGATACAGATTACTTCAGGAAAGGGTGCAGGTCGCACGAAAGGGGGGGAGCGGCATTCATTTCCACAAACCAGCTAGATCCGCCACTCAGAAGATTATTGTGTACAATTGTTAAGTGACAGCAGTTATTATACTCTTCTACTCCCTTAGCGCCGTTCAAGATGGCTTTATGCATGAGTGGCTAGAAAGCTCAGGAATGCCCAAGGTAGACTTTGATGGTGCTTTCCGTATTCCAATTTTCCAATTTCGACCTCAACAAACCTGCATATCTTTTAGTGCCTGAGAAGAAAGAAATTTGCAAGTAACGAAAACGTTCTCGTCAACCAAGCTCTTTCAGAGGTACCTTGCATTCGCATGTCCGCACGTCCACATTCATCTAACATGCATCTATTGTTTCTGTTGGTCTGTCCATACATACTTCCTTCCATTTGTTTATTCTTTCTTTTTTCATTCGCTCACTCATTCACACTTTGATTTCTCTCTCACTTCCTTTCGTTCATCCGTCATTCATTCATAATCTATCCCTTTATTGGCGTCCTTTCATTGGACGCCAATCCATCCAGGCAAATCATTTCATTTTTTCGTTTGTTTATCCATTCGTTCATTACTGTTTATGGTCAGTCTTTATGTCTTCGACCTCCTACAGCAATGCTGATTTATTTTACAGTTTGAATTTTGGAGACGACAAGACGCAACGAACAAGAGAACGAAATCGACACACGCAAAGAATAAAAAAGAATTAGAGAATCTAACGTTGGTAAGGGGTTTGATAGCTTTTRTAAAAAATCTCTTGAGATTTCGTAAAAATATTTAGAGACAATTTAGTAAATAGTCGCTATTTGTTAGTATTTAGTTTGATTTTATTTCATGGTTTTCCTGCATTTGCTCTAAAGTATGGCGGGTTGGGCCGGAAAAATCTGGGTGTGGGCCAGGATTTTCCATGCACCTTAAAAGAGGTGGACAAGGAAATATCATGCACCAATTAAGGGGTGGGCCATGCAATTGCTGTGCAATGTCTTTTTTTTACTGTGCTTATGACAATGATAGACACCATTGGGAAAATGACAGAATTAATCAGTAAAATACAAAACAGATGTTACACATCTAAATGAAAAATAAGTATTTATTTCAATGATGCACTAATTCATAGCGGTTCTTTATATTTGTTAAAAGAAACGAATAAACCAACCACAGGCACGTATTGTCATAAAGTATATACGCATGTGCGTACTAGTGGCAAGGAAWTATTAACATTTTCGGGATTTTTTTTAGATAATTGTCTTGCTTGCTTTCTCGCACCAAGAATTAAAAATTCGCATACATTTGATGCCTTTTACTATATGCTCTCGATGTCCTTCAAAACGCTGGAAATCGCATTTCAAAGAGTTATTATTTCAAAATTTCCTGGGGGAGGAACCCCCTTAGTACACCCGCCTTTAGCGGTCGTTAGCTCCCCCCCCAAAAAAAAAAATATTAAAGCATTTATAGTGATGCAAGCGACGTTGATGATGATGATTCTGATTTAGTGCTGCACGAAATTGGCTCTTCAAGTGACGATTACAAAACAAATAACGAAGAAGAAACAATTAATCGAATCAACCGCGGAGACCAAATCGCAAATCAAAGGAGTGATTGTAGACAATTTTCTCGGCTTCCGTGAAAATTTCAAAAATACCCTAAAAAGTCACTCACGCCGTTTTCGCATCCGGCCCTTCATATATAGCATTATTTAAAGTTTGAAAATACTTTCTCTTTTCAGGAGACTTCAGAGCAAATCGTCCTGATGTTAGAGAAACTATTACAGCGAGACAAGATACTGCATTCAACATTGCGTCAGTTGAACAAAGCGTATCAGTTTGCTTCGCGTAATGCCGAGGTAGGTCATTATAAAATTTCACGTTTATTTTCATGGTTTGACTGACAACTTCAGTCTTAATTGAACGGCGGTTTTTTTATGCAAATAATTTCTATTTCATTTACGTCTTTTGTGATAGATTCGGCATCGMTGGTGTGAGCTTATCGTCAAGCACAAGTAAGTGTAGCTCAAAAGGGTCCTTACTTCAACATCTCTGCCCTTGGACTGCATATAAACTGTTGCGTCAGGGGTATTAGCCCTTAGCGCCCCTTTTAAGTTGGCACACCTCAAGTACTTATTATTATATATTWATGTAGTTGTTATATAGGAATAAGATTAAGTAAGTGATCACCATTTTTTTTTGTTTTGTTTTTTGCATCTGGCATCTCGATATTTAATAATTATACAACGAAAAAGTGGGAATTATATATTATTGAGCTCGAAAAAAAAAAGTTACTCATTGGTGAATTATCTCGGAAGACTAAACCCAAAATATGATTAAATAGAGTTAAAATATCTTGATTTTTAGGTACACGAAGGAATTRCAAGACGTGAAGCAGTTTCTCATCGAAGACCAGGTAACAGACGTTAATACCATCTTGAGTTTGCAGGATATTAATTTACAACTAATTTCTCATTGATAGCTGTTTAYTGATTTCWTTAGGGTATGGGGATCTACTTATTTGGCGAACTGATCATTTCTGGTCAAGCCAAGCAAAGGGCTTTGGCCGAGGAGATTTTCCAAGAGATTGGACCCGAAATGGACAGATGTACATTTAAAACCGTGACTGACATGCTGCAAGGAGTGGATTAGAACGAGGCTAGTTTCCAAATAAGGTAGAAAGTCACAGGAATCCCAAGCTATGTATATGTTTGTATGAATAGCATGTAATGAATCAGTGCTCTCGGTGTCTCGATGGAGGAATCAAACTTTAGCTAAGCGTACATTTACACGTCCTAGTTTGGCCACATTTGTCTATCTTTTTGATTTGATACTTCCTTGGAGATCTACTATGCAATACTTATTACTCTTAACTGTCTGTTGTTTGAGTAATTTCGAGATTTTTTCTTCACTACCGTTTGAATGAAAGTTTTAAAGAGGGTTMCCGTTGGAAATTAGAAAAAGGTGTGGCCGTTTGAATACGCTTTGTTTTGTTTATATGTTATTTTTGCCGTTTAGTGTTTCTTGTTTTGGTTTGGTTTGGTTTCTGTTGGTAGATGTGTAATATACTTTGTACTGATGTAGTTTAATACTAGTTGATCTTTTTAATAATTATCTGTAAATTTTAAAAACCTAAAAACAGATTATTGATTCAAATTAACTCCATTACCATACTTTAAAATATCGAATATACATACATTATATATTAATATACTACGTCATTTTTATGTATTTTATTGAATAAAAATGAAWGCACTAAAGTTGATGTAATCTGTAAACTAATCTGTACATGAGTTAAACATAAATGTAATACATATGTATTTGTACATATTGTGAATTGTTCACATCGTTCTTATAAAATCATCCCATTTAAAACCCGGACTCTCAAGGGTTGCTTATATATGAAGAAAAGTCAGTGTATGAGTTGTTTTAGAGATGAGCGAGTGCCTTAAAACATATAAACCCCGGTTTTGAATGACTGTCGGAAAACCCTGGTTTCATAGGCGTCGACATAACATAACAGTTACACTAGAATAGACCTAAATGTCAATGTTCTCATGCAACATTCCACCCAATTTCGACCAAGAGTAAGCAAGGTTTAATTGTCCGTTGTGTTGGTCAGTAGTATTCTCGTAGAGTGGACATCCTAGAGGTCAKGATTTCTAGAGTTTGAAATACTTATCTTTTGTTTATGGGGCTTAATACTGCTTTTTTTCAGCGCTCGCACATCTCTCTATAAGTATCTAAGTCATAACTGTTTTCGTTTTCTAAGGACGACTACTGATCCCAGTTCGCGCAGTTTTTTCGTTTAGGTGGTCATCCACGATCGATTGTCCCGAGAAACTTATCTATTAGGAAAAAAAAACCTTAGTGTCCACCCCTAAGATAAATTTGTTTTGTAAATCCAAGCATGCCATTGAGATCTTTCTGTGAAAGGTTATGAGGAATTTCATATTTCTTCATGTTTTGTCTCGTTATTTCATCTCGTTTTGATGATTCTCCCTAAAATGCAACACGAGAACGATGGAATATTAGTTTCCAAAGGACTAAAAATAGATAAAATTAAATTCTTACCTCGTCTTCCCTTTCATTTGATAAATCGTCCTTCTCGACTTCACCAGACTTGTCGTCACGTGACGGCTGGTCACGTGCTACACCCTGTATATCACCCAGTTCTTGGGATTGAGGCTGGTAGTTGTATTGTTGTTGAGTTGATTGTTGATCAAAGTAGCCTTGTTGTTGAGGCTGYTCGTTGTAGTTTTGGTATTGATTCTGGTAGTTTTGGTAATCCTGTCGTGGCTGGTCGTAAAATTCATTTTTTGGTGGCTCAGTATCATCTTTGCTGATGTCGTCGCCTTTAGAGATTGGCGTATAAGGCATGTCATTCGTTGTCTCTTGGTCTTGTTGTGGATATTGTTGTGAGTTGTAGAAAGCTGTTTGCTGGTCTTGACCGCCCGTGTTGAATTGACTGCTTGGATCCTGGAAGTTGTTGTAAGCTTGGTTGCCGTATTGTGGTGCATATTGCGATTGATAGTCATTTTGTGGTTGYTGGTAGGCAAGGTTGCTGTCTTGACCGTTGTTGAACTGATCGTACAATGAAGGCTCTTCTTCTTCTGCGAATCAATGAATCGATTAAAATAGAYAAATTGATGATTGATTGATGAATAAGTGGCGACCTCGTTGCCAGGCCCTTTCGCAAAAACCGAAGGAGAAAGAACCTGGATAAGAGGTTAAAGTGAACAGGATTGCAGAGTCGTGACATGTTATATGTGACATGTTATATGTCATTCGATTTTTTGACAAAAGYTTAGTCTGTGATTCCAAATATCGTATTTTCAAATTTTCTGTTCACACAAAAATGGGTGATCCCATGTATTTTTTATTAATCTAATAAGCTAATCCACGGTCCCGATCCCAKCAGCCTTGATCCATTTCCCAAAGSTAAAATTCTGATCGCTGATCCCAATATAAGAAGCTAATACTTTGCGATGAACGAATTCTGAATTTACCAGGMAACTTGTGTCTGAGTAAAATTGAATCCTACCTTCAGGGGGGTCTTGTCTTGAAAATGAACCATCATCGTTTAACAACTCTGGAAAATATTAAGAAAGGTTTCKCACAATCACTGAATTATTTTGTCATTGATTAGCAAACTAAAATTTCCTGAAGTTGGTACTGTAATGTACATTGATTATTCATTTCTTAGAAGTATTGAAAATGAAGTTAAATAAGAGCAAGGGAATTTTTCTAATTTCCCTTTTTCATTTTATATCATTATTTTTTCTGTTTTATCATAATCACAAAACGTTCCTTACCTCCTCGGACATCATATCGGTCTGGGATAAAGTTTCGCGTATTTTGTTGCGCTACAGGTGCTACAGATAAACACGAAAAACAATAAAAAACAATATTATTAAAGTGTGTTGAGTCGAGACAATCTTGCCTGTCAACACAGAGTAAAGTACATGTTCATTAGGTGTGAAACCCTAGGAATTTCCCAGACAGATAATAAAATGAATTTAATTGAATGATGAAAAAAAAATCTTTCTTCCGCTGTCATCTGTAATACTGCTTTTTTGGCGTTTTGACCACCGAAGTGACTTCGCGAAGAATCAAAGTTGACACATAGTTTGGTCATTGATCATTCAACTGCGCCATCTGTGACTGCACTTATTATCTTAAAGTGCTTCCATCCTTAACACTTATCATTCTGCTCATAAAGTGAGGAAGTTTTGAAAAGCAGTCAAACGCTCTTGATATAATAGAAATAATTTCAAGAGGATCTCATCATAATATATGACACACTTGAAAATCCAACTTTTGAGAACACTTACCACTTAAAGTTGTCCCAAGTAAGCATGCTAGGGCAAAACATATCCTGAAGTCCATTTTGCTTGTATAACTTTGGATTTTAAGTTCCTTTTTCAAAACTTAAGCCCCGAAAGTAGTATGGGTGAATTGTATGTTGATGTTAGGCGCCTATGACACGATGGATTTTAGTACCTTGGCCATCCGAAATGTATGATCCAATACTTGGCAGGTACCAAAATAGCAGGTTAGATTATCAACAAATAATCAAACATAGCTACACTCTGGTATCAGAGGGTCTGGATAGTCATTGCTTTTAAGAGTTAAAGTGAATAGTAGCTCAAAACTAACTTGATTTTTTGCAAGGCATAGTTTTTTAACTTGTGAGATTTGATTTTTACAATTTGGGGGAATATTGGAACGACCGGYGCGCACGACGCGATTGCCGTTTCTGAAGTCTTTTAAGACTTAAAACGTTAAAACGTGTAAAAAGGGTTATAGAAGGTTTTTTTCCACTCGATAGCTTTTAGCTCGAGGTAGCGTTTTCTCGTCGATTATGCAATTTTTTTATCGTTACAAATGTTTTTGATTTCGTAAAATTTGTTATTCTAAAACCATTCAAAAACTGATCAAAACAACATAAAATTACCAGATTTTTATTATATTTATTGAAGTGTGCAAACGTGACAAGGTAATCCTTTTTGTGCTGTGAAAAATGGCCAGAAAAATTAGGACCACGCCAGACAATGTTTATACATGGTGTTGTAAGGGAAATGGACTGGTAATTTGACCATTTTACAAGAGACAAGAGTTCTTCTAATAAAACTACGCGAGGCACGGTTTTTCCTCGTTTCTTTACTAGGTTGTCCAAGCAGCCGTCGCGAAAAGTTCAAATTTTGAAAACCATAACAGCGAAGGAGAATGAATACAAAGTCACACAGGGATCCCAAGAACTAAGCAGAACTTTCATTTATTGTTACAATTAGCTAAAGAAATAAATGTTGAACATCTGCATGTAATATAGATTATATGATGTAAAAAGAGATTTTTAATATCATTTACAAGAAAAAAAAGAAAAAAAAGTAGWGACTGGTCCGTAAGGGGCTCGAACCCTTGACCTTAGCGTTATTAGCACCACGCTCTGCCGACTGAGCTAACGGACCAATGCTTATTAAWTGAGAGAAAATTATTGTATATGAAGCTACATAATTAAAATRGTGACACCAACTCGCGTACCACTTCATTTCACATAAAAAGGGAAAAGAGCAGTTTCTTTAATGCTGAACAGTCGCATATTCACAAGTTAGTTCTGTTTCTTGAAATGAAGGAGATTGCTTTTTCTTGTATTTCTGTCAGAAAAAAAAAGGTTTTTAGGGAGATTTTCTCTTTGTATTAAATCTACAATATGGTCATTCTACCTGAGGAAGATCGGTGTAATCGATCGAAACGTCGTGAATCGTTTCAACTTTGGTCCAGTATTTGACTTATCACTTTATTTAATTATCACGACTGGATGACTAATTTACACTTAGATATTAAATCTACAATACTACATCAACATTTAAAAAAAATACGATAAAAAGAGGTCTTACAAATTACATAAAAAAAACCAAGCCATAAGTATCTTTTACCTTACTAGTCAACATTTATAAAATACGATAAAAAGAGGTCTAACAAATTACACAGGAATCCCAAGCCTACAGTATCTCTTACCTTACTAGTCTTTTTGGACTTGTCAATTAAGGCATATACAACATTCGCCTGTATGGGTTGATTTTGCTGCTGTGATGGTTTTGGTTTGCATTTTGTAACTTCAGCATATTCGGGCTCTATTGGAATTTCCACTTCAGTTGGCTGTCCGGCGGCATTTTCTCCATTTTCATGGAAAACCTCTTCACTTCTAAAACTTTAAACAGGCATATGTACGTCAATAACAATTATTATCCTATTATAACAATCGGGCGCAGTCTTTCATATCATACTTCCTTGAGGTAAAATATCTAAGACACAGTTTTATGTGGGTGCTCTCGTTAGAGTGAAAGCTTGGTTGTATATTATGGGATCGCAGTTTCTAACTCGGACCAGCCCACATCTTGCCTGTCAACACAGGGTAAAGTACATGTTCATTAGGTGTGAAACCCTAGGAATTTCCCAGACAGATAATAAAATGAATTTAATTGAATGATGAAGAAAAAACTCTGTGTTGACAGCCCACATTTTTAACAAAAATAACGGTTAATTATTATTCAATCGTGAATCATTATATTTAGATTAAAGACATATATACCTGTAGGAGTTTTTCAAGCTGAAGTAATAGGCCAGTACCAAAACTAATACCAATAGCGCAACATAAATAGTCGCGAATATCAACKCATTAGTTCCTGTAAAAAAAGGYTGAACCTGATMATGACATTGTAGATATTTTCCAATAGTTTCAACGCCGCAATAAGTTCACAGTATACAGCTTTTTTCTCGCCCAAGTTATACTTCCACGTAAGAGTTAAGAATATAACATTAGGAAATTTATATAGCTACTAGCCAGGCCATGTAAAAGAAATTCTAAATCATCTAATTTCATGATCACCTTGCATAATGCGTCAAGAAAATAACACTTTTCCAAGGTTGCCTCACAGCTCCAGAGTCTGATCTTCGTTACTATTGATTAAAATGACGTATATTTTGTTCGCATGAAACTAATCAACGCTTTCGGTAGCTAATTAGTGTGTCATAACAAATTCTGTTTCGTTTTTTTACAATTTTTTGGATCATAGCAGTAGTTTACTTTCAGTATTCTGAACTGACTAAATTATAATTTGTTCCACTAATAGGCTAACGCGTTGCCATGTGCGTTGCCACCCAATTGAAATCCTGTGAGAAAAAATACTTTCTTTCTAAGAATTCAACTGTCAAATGAAAATACAACGAACAATAAAACTTACTCCCGGGTAGTTTGAATTGGGTGGAAACGCTTATAGCAACGCTTTAACCGATTTAAATAGGTCTATTTATAGTTGCGTATATTGTATTGCATAGATTAAAAACATGATGCTTCCCTCGATCACTTTGTGTCAGAATTTGACCATACAATGAAAGCATTTATTTAGTATTTGTTGGTAACTTGGMCAAAAGAATAAAAGGGATTCAGAGTGTATCGTTCATTATATTGGAGACCACTTTCACAAATATAGTAAAAGTAAAACAGCACAACTTTCGCCGCCAGTTGATGGGTCGACCACTACCGTCGGAACGAAGCTTATTGATCGAGACAACAAAAACATTGTAAGATTATGTTGAACAATGCCTATTGTTGTTCTGGACATCTTCGTTTTTTGTATTGCCTGTTTTTTTGTATTGCCTCCTTTTTTATCAGCATCAAAAGAATTAGCTCATGTGCACTTAATTTTATACGAGAACAAAGACGTAAGGCAACATTGGTAAAGAAATGAAAATAGTCCATAATTCCTTTGGGTCGCGCCATTGGTTCTCCAATTTGCAACTGTTTGCAAATATGATTCTGAAGACAGAGTAACGAATTAATTGAAGGGGAAAAAATCGGTCAAAGTTAATTCAAACACGAATATTTTCATAAAAATAAGTATTTCTGTATAGTTTTTTAGATTTATTTCTTCTTTATTAGTTTGTGTCGTAATTTCCATTTCTATTTGAACCCTAAAAAGAGGTGTGGCCAGACACCCTAATAGATCGACCCTTATTGGATCGGCGCTCTTGCTGTATTTAGCTTTTCACWGTAGSCACGTCCTCTGCAAATTGAACCCCRCAAATCGGCGACAACGCAATGACTCCCAAACTTTCTGTATCTTTGCTTCCTATTCTAGCTCGTCCTCGCCATAACTTGGTATCGAATGTCTTACAAGYACAACATTTCATCATTTCCGTAAATGCACGGCGAAAATTCGACAGCTGAGACCTGTATAAAAACGGGTTAATAGCACTTGATAGTACAACTGTATTGAACTGTAAATCCCTTAGCCAATGAATYGTGTCACAAGTGCAGTTGAAACAGAAATGCTGGGTGTAAATAAATGATAAGGAAGGCACATAGCACGCCAAGAAATAAAYCAACATTAGTAAATACGTCTTCGTGAGTTTCTTCTCCCATAATGCTTCACGTTGCTGTTTATCTTTGTCAGGGCTGCTAACATCGAGAGAGAGGACCTCGTCCACGCGCGCATGTATTGCCTTGAAAATGCGAACGTACGTAAATACRAAKACAATGAAGACAAAAACCACTGCAGTGTTTGTAAAAATGAAGGAATATAGAGTAAAACCAATACGTAGGTATACTAGAGAGAACCCCACTGCGCATGTCCATACGAGGAAGGATATTAAGGTGGCRTTAGCAGGGTTAACAGTAGATCTGTACCACAAAGGCTTTGTTATAGCCAGATAACGATCGCTTGTAAGTCCCACAAGTGTCAGAACTGATGMTTCTACTGATATAAAGTAGCTCAAATGAATCGTGTAAACTAGGAATTCAGGGGGGTGACTGCCTTGGAGGTTTAGCAAAATGAAGGATATCGAGCTTGGTACGGTGACCAATCCTGCTATTAAGCCAGCCATGGCAAGATTTGCAATTAACAGCGTAAAATGACTGCGAAGATTTCTGTTTGGGTCYCTGAGCACTGCTACACATACCATAAYATTTCCAGGAACGATACATAGGCAGAGAAAAAAGCACGTGACCAGTGAGAAGTGACTAAGGGAGACTGGGGCTAGAGTATCTTGGCAGCGTATTGAATTGTTACTGAAGTTCATCTGTGAATTGAAAATAAGAAAGGAGTATTCCTTGTTGGTACCTTTAGTGACTTCCGAAATCAATATTCTTTTTGAGATTCTAAAATTGGAAGGCACTAGAATGTATGCTACTGAACAGGAAAAAATAGTATGTATGTGAAGGCGCCATCATGGTGTTCCCGAGCAGTACCCAAGATGTCCACCGAAATTATAAGAATTCACTTGAGTATCAACGTGTTAATTTACATTACATATCAGTAATTTAAGGAAATCCATAAAATTTTGTTTGAAATTTTACTATAGTAATTTAATCAAATAACTAAAATCAAATACTTTCTTATGTGCCATAAGTCAACTTACTAGAAATAAATAAAAAGTAAAATTTCTTAAAGAAAAAAGTATAATCTAATCTGGCTTGATAGGTGCGATTACAACCAATTTAATAAACCCAAAAATTAAAGTCAATTTAACCTTGCATTCCGTATTTTGAAGACAACTGAAATGATGTAGACTTTTTAGTTTCCTCGCTTCCTTGCCGCATTTCCTCCATTGAACCATAACAAAGTGAGAATTGAAAACTGTGTAAATTAGTTTTTAGAATTGTTTTTGACTCGCACATGCCGGCATCTATTGCTTGATTTTAAAACTTCCGATGTGAAAGATTTTGTTTTAATGAAAGGCGAAGAAACGACTCAGTTTTCGAGTTAAATTTACGAGATTTTTCAGTTGAAATTAAGCAGTTAATACACAACGGAACTAAGAGTTTAAMGGACTAAGACTAGTTGAAAAGCTGCTTATTTTCATAGTATATATAGTGGACAAAAATGCCGGTTTATCAGTGTATTTATGCAGAAACATACGGACAATGATGAGCATACCTTCTTTTGACTTTGACTGTCCCTTGAATTCGCGGGATGAACACAGCCTTCAACAAACTCACCAGCTCTCGAGACCGATTSACATCAGCCGGCTTGCTGCAGACCCGTTATATATGACATTGCTGAACTGTTTATATAACATAATTTCAGATCATTGGATCACCATTTTATTATGGTTATTACGAAAACAGTTTACATTTCAGTAGAAACTGACAGTCAAAACTCTGATGAAGTCGCAGTTGGAGATGTATGACGCCGAACAAAATCAATTTTCGGCAATTTTAATTTGGTACCCGGGGAGTCTAGAGCCAATTTAGGGGTCTTGGGGTCGCATAAGTAAAAAGGAGCGTTAGTAAACCAGTATTTCAGTTAGTTTAACAACCCAGGATTGTCATAATTTGGTAACAACACAGAGGGCTTTATGACAAATCTGAACAAACCTTCATAACCATAAATACATAGTCTTCGGTCAATATATTTAAATAATAGTATTTTCAAGGTACAATAACATGCTGAAAATATGAAACAGAAGCTCATAACAAATAGCGGCAAATTCTCTTATGATGATGACTCAAAATATGAAGTACTTTTTAGCCAAAACAAATGTCTTTTTAACGCGCATGGAAAGAATTAGAACTAATTAATAGTTATGATTAATAATTAATAATTATGATATAAAACAAAATTTRTTGATAAGAATATTTATTGTAGTTTTGTCTTCCAAGCTTTAATAAAGCAAATTTACTTATAGGAACAACGTGGCTTAATCATGATAGAATTATGAAGACTCATGATTAGATTTCGCTTTAACTGAGCTCCTCTCGGCGGGAGCGAGATTCACGGATGAGTTGGTCATGCGCAGTATTCGCTGCAATGCTTTTGATGTTTTGGCGGGAAATCGAAAGACCGCGCGCGCTCTATTTCGCTCTCAGTATTTACTGTATTTGTTTCTTGGACTAACTTCTTTGATATCTTAGAAAAGATCTTTCAAGTTATATTAAACTATGTTGCCTGGTATTTCTTTAACAGCACAATGCTTTTAATTAGATAGCGACGAAAAGGTTTATGAGTATGTTGAAGCTTTTGAAAAGCTGTCAAGTCCATTATCTTCATCCAACATGACGGCTGCTATTTCGTAAAAAGACGTCAACCACACGATAAGGAATTCCATGAAAAGTAACAAAGGTATCCCCCCACAAGCTTAAAAAGGGCCGCTTTTCCTCTTTTTTTATTGTTCTATTTTAAAGTTTTTTAGKATTTAATAAGTATTTTGTTATGAACTGCTCATACTAGCAGCCAGTTCTTACACACTATACCTGTGCATAGAACTAACTTATCTAGGTCAGTATTATGAACAAAACAAACCTTCCCATTTGTAAGGCAGCCTACGGGCCTGGGTATTGCCTCCTTGTTGGATGAACGACTGAAGTTATTAGCTAACTTCATTTATGGAATTATTATGGATTTATGAAGTGAGTTTAATCGGTTCCTTAACAGTAATAACCAAATTTTTTGCTATATCCGATAATCTTTCATTAAATATGAACGGCGAAAAGTTTCACTCATTGATGCCTTTTGATTGAAATAGCGTTTTTGTCAATAATGGCTGATAGYTAATATAATCAGCGAAGAGTTCCTTTTGTTATCTTAACTATTTTCAAGAAAGTAATTTCAACGTGAAAAAATAAAAAGAATAATCAATAAAGAATAAAAATAATTAAAAGAAAAATCAGCTATCGGAGGTGACTATTTTGTCTARAAGGATGTCAACRMCACGATGTTTTGGTCCATTTGCATACCGGCGGTCAGTCTTGCGAATKAAAACCCGRCTTGACGACCAACGTAGTTCATAATATTGGAACTTTTCATTTCTAATGTCTCACATGACAAATGCTATCAGATATACTTTAACATTTAATCAAGTCTTAACGACTCAAATCCTTTAATGCGTCATTCTTTAGGCTTTAAATGTCGATATGTCATAGCTTATCAGTTAARTTCAAGGAATCGTGTAACTAAGCACAAAATGAACGGTTTTTTTACATAGATTTTACAGTATATACATCTGCTCATGCGCACAATGTTTCAGAGTTTTGCAGTCCGTATTCCACTAGTTTTACTCATTTCAAAGCAATTTATTTCTCTCTCRGTTCGACGAATAGAACTCATGACAGATTCATGGACCATCTTCTTGAAAACCATATTTCTCATAGCTGATCGGTACTGATTCAGGTATATTGCGTAAGCCACAGGGCATATTGCGCAATGAAGTCGTGTGATAAGAAAACTAGTTCGTGTCAACCAGGCTTTTGACATACACGAACAATCTGAGCAAAGTTCTGCAATGATTGTCATAACTAAGGCTGGAACATAGCACCCTAGAGATGCCACCAAAAGCCATGAATGTTTGTAACTAACGCAAGCTTCYTGGACTATCAGCTGTACTTGRCCTCTGTTCTTCAGGGCCTCAAGCTTGTTAAAAATCCATGCAAAAGTGAAAATGAGTGGAAAAGTAGTGAAGAGCACGCCAGCAGTAGAGTGTAAAATACAATACCGTCTTAACCCCGTATTGAAATAAAGGAATGGATAGCTTATTGCAATRATCCAACCCATAGATGTAGCTATTAAAGTTCGGTTGAATGACACGTTGAGTTTGAACCAACCAGGTACTGTCACGAACAGATATCGATTGACAGTGATTCCAACGACGGAAAATAAAGTTGCCATTGACGACGTGAAGGACAGTAATATTGCAAATAATAGAAAAGGAGCTTGGGGGTTAATGATGACGTCATTGAGCGTTGCTATGGTGAAGTACATGAATAGCGGCTCTGCAATGAGCCCCATCAGAAGTGAACCTGTTGCCATGGTGATGACCACTGCTGACAACGAAGTGCGAAGTTTCTTGTGTGGGTTTTTGATGACAACAAGATAAATTAGCGTACCAGAAACTCCCGCCAAAACAAAAGAGCAAATAGAAGCTAATAATTCAAAGTACAACAATTCAACCCAGTTGGCTGCAAAAGCGTCTTCTTCACATGGAGTGTACTCCATCTTTATAATCTCCTCAGGCCTTGAAAAGGAAAGTAAAACGAAAAGTAATCATTCACATGGATATTTATTTTGGCGGGGTCGTTTACAAAGGAAACCGAAAAGAGATTTCGGCTAAGTGTTTCAATGTATCCCGCACACAGTCGGARCCAAGATGTTTTCCCGCTTGATAGTGAAGTCATCGGCGGTAATTGGATTCTCTGTGCATTAAAAGCTTTTTCCTCAAGCAAAATACTTCGATCCAAGTAATGTGGTTTTAAGAGGTGTGCCATTAAACATGACGCTATCATTGGCAAAGTTTCGAGACTATGCGAGCTTGCGTTTTGATAATCAATTTTCTTTTAATCCATTTATAAATTTGGAAAATACGATCACWAGAATAAAAGCGCCGAACTAAAAACCTTTTAAAACTAAGACAAATATTGATATTTTCAATTTCCCTCGTGTTTATTTTCCATTTATGCATTTAAAATCACTAAGCTTCTTTAATTTGGGATATTCGCTTTGTAATAAGAAAATTTGACGAATTCTTGTTTTTGACAGGAACAACAAAAACTGCACGAGTTAGCGTTGTGAGGCAAGCCTTGTCTAAGAACAGCTCGTTTAGTTTCCTTTTATAGATTTAAATGGGTACTTTCTTTCAGTGCACTCTCTCTGTTGTCGATGAGGGGTTGGATATATGAACTATTTTGTACCTTCTAGTAGTGAACAGAAAACTATTATTTTATTCGAGCTGAGCTGTGGAAAATTAACTAGGTTCCGAATCTTCGTAAAAGTAATAAAATCAAAGTTTTTCCTTCGAAACGAACAATCGGAAAGTTCTTACCGTTCAGATTTATTGCTTTGATTTCCACAAGAATGGCACCAACCACGAACAAAAGCACTGATCCACCAACGTCTTYCTCAGCTCACAATACCAATTTATKGCAAGTTATAATATCTTTTCCGATCGCTAAAGGGAACCTTGCTTGAATACGGATAAGAAAAAACTTCCGGTCAACTCCTCCGATCAGCAAAACGAACTAAGTAACTCATTGTCAATAGAATTGCTGTGAAAAAAGAAGAAATTTGTTTCGTGAGTAACACTTAGCTTTTCTTTCCCCACTGAAATGAGTTCCTATCGCGGTAGTCTATGTATTTTCTAATCCCTATCATTTAAGTCGTATTTTGCCCTGAGCTGTAATGTAGATATTGCGTGAGATAGTTGGGATCTAAGTTCGATAGCACGGTAACTTTAAGCCACTTAAAGATTGATTAATTCTGGGTAAATACTAGTTCTTGAATGGTTCAGATTGAAAAAACAATGTACCTTACGTATTCTACGCCGCACAAATGACATCACTCGAACGTTTCTGATTGAACGTCTTAGAAATTCATAATTGGCGATGTTTTGAAAAATAGCAAAAGTTGACGTTCATATTGAATGCGTACCAAATGTATACTTTTCATAAAGAAATGATTAAATAAATAAGGGAATGAATGACTGAATGAATAAATATGAGTTACATACTGTAATAATTGTCAAAGGAGCTCKTGCACCGATTTACGTCTCAAACAGATTTGTGGTATTAAACTCTTCATATTCATCAAACATTAAAACTGATCTACGAGAACCGAACTGACAAGTGTAGCTAAGTGACATGCCTTGAGGATCTTTATCTTTCCTTAATCTTTTTTTCGATGTATAAGTCTTTTCAATGTTTCAGTAAATAAGTCATACCTAAGGGGATAAAGGTCTTGGCTAACCACGGCGAACGCCACACATACGCATCAAAGTACAACACTGTTCAACCATTWAGSGAACTGAAAAAGCCGTTCTGAAGTAGTGATGAGTGGATTAGAGCCCAATGTCCGGTTAAAACCGGAGGTTTTTATATTCTTATTGATAATATCTGAATGACGAGACTAGTGATCGTATCAACATGATTAATCTAGACGAACCTCTGACTGCCATCACTTGCTTTTTGACAGCATTGTCTTGGCATGTGGCTTACTTTTTAACTTTTCGGCTTCCTTTCATTATGATCGCGTTGTGGACCATTTTGCGTCGTTTCTTATCTTTCTTTTGTCAAAATCAATCAAAGAATTACTCTTGTCTTTCGTTAGATAGTCGCATCTCTATTGAATCTGTTTGCGCACGTTTCAAACAAGCCATAGTTGTGATTCCGTTTTTCTTTTATGTAAATTTTGATCTCTTTTTCCATGTTTTTATATTAAATCAGAGAATCATGTCAAAGGACAATAGGTATATTGCTCGTTTTTTTTTATTTCTTTTATTGTGTTTAGTCTACTGTTTCGCGTCAATACGCCCAAAAATGCGCGACAGAATCTACGTAAAATTTTRATCGTTCGTTGTATGTCGTCAAACTGACTCTTATATATTAACCGTAAGCCAAGATGGCGGAATATCAAGAACTAGTGATGTAGAGTTTTCTAACATACCTTCATAAAAGCATATCATTGCTCATAAAGTTCTATTGTTCCTTCCAAAAWCCATTRTAGCCATACTGCTTYAYTGGTGCTGGATTCTTGGTCACGTGTTAAAGACTCGTGACRTCATAGCCGCCATTTTAGACTAGATAACATATYATYGCTCATTAGCTTATCAGATTGTTCATTTATCCMACATGGCGRCGATAGCTCTGCTCGTTATTTMTGATTGAGGGGTCCTTGGTCATGTGGTTAAGRTMACATGTTGGGATCTCTGTGGATYGGGATATCTKTGTTCTTGTAAAATGAGGAAGATTGAGGACGAATAAAGTCAGGAAGCCCATGAAAYGAAGAGAAATTTCATGTACCGCAAGCCACCTACAATCACGCAKTYAACTATAGTCCTCATCACAAGCCGGTCATTTGGAATCTGTTGGTGTTGTATCATGAGATAASAGTCTTCCTRTCTTCGTCAAAACAAGTCGCTTAAATACTAAAAACGCTCAMCATTTCTAGTAAATTTAAAGTGTTTTCGGTTGACTGTGCAATTTTTAAAGATCTTTCCTCATATTTTAATTGCTGTGGGGGATTTGTCTTTTCCGTATTGAGCGTCTGTGATTAAACTCACTGTCCACTTTTCCCGATATTTATCAAAGAACTGAGCCCACATCAGATGGCAGAGCGTCAGATGGCTGGAGCGCTGCCATCTTCCTCACTTTTCTACTCATTTATCAATCCCTCAATGCATTGCGCCGCAACATTTCTCGCGGGTCGTGATAAGTGCGAACTTCACTCTAAAACTTTTTTTCTTGGGACTTAGTTTACATCTCGTTCTTTTACAGTGGATATATCTGCAATAGGAGGCTGATAGCCTTTACTGCTAATCTGTCGTTGTTGTTGTTGTTGCCTATGGCATCGTTGCTGTCTTTGATATTGCTGTTGCTGTTGTTGCAGTTTGTTGTRTCAAATGTTGTTATTTGTCCATGTTTTTGTCGCACGAGGCTACAACGGTTAAACAAAGCAACGCCTACACAATTTCCCTTCAGTYGAAAACAACACTGAATATATATGCCATGGCGTCCCGATTTAGAGACGGGAAATCACATGGTTTTCATCGATGGACTGTTGCGTCTTTTTCGTGGATAATGATGATTGTAAATGCAAAGAAAAAACAACAACAAACAAACAAACAAACAAAATGAGTGCCTACTAAAATAAAAAAGGCATCAAAAAGCAAACAAAGAAATAAAGGAAAGAAAACTCCCAAGAWAAAGAGGCCGCTTAAAATAATAGTTTTATATATTGCAAAAATGCTGTTTTGACAAGGCGGAAGATAAATCTTCAATTGCTACAAGTAAATATCACCACAAAACGTAACAACATGAAGTATATTGCCCAGCAAGCTTTAAGTGCGCACCTTCGTACGTCATTTCTCAAGTTGTTTAATTTTTACCAAGCACTTCTACACTGACAATGACTTTCTCTCAAGACCTTGAAGCTTCTTGAACAATGGTGAAAAGGTCTTTAGGATCGTATTTTTGCTAGCCCTTTGGCAAAGATTGGCATACTGTCCATTAGCTACTCAAGCAGTGACGTGCCTTTCTATAATTATCGCGAATGAATGTAGAGTGTCCCAGAGTAATCCTAAGTAATCTTTGTGAGAGTTTTAGTGGTAAACACTCGTTTAAGGCAATATCATTACGAGTGCAAATGCATACAAAACTCGGAAATCCTTCACCTAGGAAAGGCTAAATATTAGTGCTATTTCCTCTTTGTTGAACTATGATCACGAAAGTGTTAGCTTTAACAAACAAAATAGCTTATKTCGACTTCCTTGCGGAAGAGACACTCGATGCGTAACCATCTAATATAGTGGCTTATGGTAGGAACGTGATTCGCGAATATATTAATATTGATATCATTTGAATACGGATGTGCAAAGGGTGTTCCAGGGTTTCTGGAACTTGGCATACAAAATCTTTGACRTATCATCACCCTCATAAAAGCCCCTGTAAAAGTACAGGGGCGGATCCAGCAGTTTTCAAAAGGGGAGGACGTTGACAAAAATGGCGGGATTTTCGCGGGAATTTGACTTAACTTCATCAAATCCAAAAAGGAACTGATAAATAAAAAATGACAGTCAAATGTGCAAATTGTTTTAAGAGTTATTTTATTTTTCAATGTTTTCTTGTTGTCTTTGTTTTTAATTTTTGTTCTGCAAAAGAGGACTGCGGACCCTTGTCCCCCCCCCCCCYAAAAAAAACCGCCCCTGGTATGTTTATATATGTTTATATCGATTTGTTGATTTCTCTTCAAAAAAAAAATAAATAAAGCTCACAAGAGGCCAATAATGCAAAATTATAGCGACAAAGATAAGATTGTAATCTTTATGATTTATCWGTAAATCATAGTTAACCCTGCATCAACCTTTGAAAAGTTCAATTCTCTGTTTTTGCTTTTGATTTGTTTTTCACTAATCTCAAAATGATCAAGGTTGGAGCGACGGAATATCCGCAGAAATATATTCAAAAGTATGACCTAAAATTTTTTTTCCTGCCTAAAATAATTTTGATTAAGAAAAAGGATGTCATGGGWAGCTAACATTAATTAAAATGTTTCCAAATAGAAATCTGTTAATTAATTAATGAACGGTGACAAAAGAAGAACTAGCAGATTACATAGATAATGGCAGACCTGCTGGGCAGCTTAGTGCTCTGTCTATTTGACTTGCTTTTATTAGAATCTTTATTTAGACTTTATTCGAGAAGACAAGAGACATTTTATATTCTAAATTTTAATCATGAAAAAAGAAAAAAAAAATATATACTCCAAAATTGTTCACTTATGTCTTGCAAAATTTTCACAGAGAAGACTCACTTTGTACCGAGGCATTTTGTCAAAAAWGATTTGTTATTTCTTTGTCTTTCTTTGTTGTCGTTATTGATTACTACTGGAACAGTTGACACGTAGAAATAGAGTACTACTCGAGTGAGTTTTATCTGAAGTATTAATTGATTATACTAAACGAAAGGTTATTAACGATAACTTTTTTTTGTACTGCACTAAGACGAATACTATTTATATATACAGAACTGGGATTAGGGAGCATGATTCTCTGGTAATTTAAGAAACCTTCTAGTGGAAAAATTAAAACGTTTTTTTCTTGGGAGTTGTATTTAAGTCCAGTTTTTTTTCAACCGCCAGTTTTTCTCGGTGAGTAATTTGACAGCAAAAACAAAYACTTCTTGAGATCTGAATGCCTTATCGACAGCCGCGGAAAGCTCTTAGAGCTAGATCTCGAGCTATTTATTTTCCTGTGTAATCAAACAAATTCAAGATATGTTTTTAACGCTATTGTTGGCATTGCAAAGTGTCTCGTGAGAGCGAAAAAAGAAAAGAAAATTGATAATAATCCACGATCCGAGAAGACGATCACGCGAAGGGCGAGGTTAATTTTAGAAAAAGTRAAAAGATTGATTAGTCGAAAAACTATAAAATGCCGTTTTGTATCCCATGGAAGATCACCTTTGGCGATAGCATGCTGTTAAACAGTACCAGACCCCTAGTTCTATCACATCGATGCGCCAAAAACTCTTGTTTCGCGGCATTTGCAATTCCAATAAATGATCTAACTGGTGTACAAATACAAAGGCTGGGTGATGAATTCATTCATTTTAAATTAGAAAAAWTTTTAACGAGACAAACGATAGGTAATGACTCTCTTTTTCATGAAATATTAATGATGAATTCAGTTCAAGCAACTGGACCTTTAACGTGTGATATAACATTRAATTAAAATCAACAGTCTTTTGAAAGTCTTAAATCCCCAGCTAAGTTGCCTTAGTATTTAATTTGTACTCACTAAAAGGACACTCTCTGTGACAAATATATTTTCTGCTCAATTGCTATTGGTTCAATGCTGTTTCGTGTGTTTTAGTTTATATTATTACTACAAACAATTTGGAGGAAATAATTCGAGCTAAAATTAAGAAAAAGTAGATTATTTGGACAATTTTCAAAGCTTTATCACGATTTTGATGTACATTTTGCAAAAGCTCAATTCCTCATCAATATTTGAAACTATTATCAAAAGGATTATGAATAAATAGTCAGATTTATTAAAGATAAACATGTTAGTAATGAAACCCTAACAAAATCCGCTTGCAAAGGAAGCTTAGAACAAGAATATGTGAACAACTCCAATGTCGACTGGAATGTTTTTACAAAAAAAACATTGATTTTAGTTTCTATGGTAGCCACTATTAATCATTTCCGATGAAGAGGCAGTTGACCAAAGGACGCTTGTCTTTAGCACTTTACGTAGTTGAACACAAAGCCAACATCGAATAGAATCGAGTACTAGTACATCATATGTCATCGTGATAACATCTGCATTCATAGAGGACTTCACCTGGCTCTTTGTAACTCAAGAAAATCCTTAATTCTCCTATATTTCCGGCACCATAGAGGCTGACCGCATTATCACAAAAGCATTCGCATTGGAACAGCCTCTTATTTCATTAGTAACTCTAGAGGACTATAARAACGAAGGATTTGCCGCCGAGGTTGGATAGTCCAGACTACGAACTGCCAAGAAATGACTACCAACAATTCAACAGCGCCAACTCACTGTACAACATCTAAGGAATGGAATGGATTTGTGTATCTCAACCAGACGATCGTTACTACTGCGGCATGTATGTCTCTCGCTTTGGGTGTTTGTTCCACTTTAGCGAACGGTTTGGTTCTGATAGCCGTGTATAAAACTCCCTCGCTTAGGACAATGACTAATTTCTTTTTGACTTCTTTGGCAATGACTGACTTMACAATGGGAAGCCTGATTGTGCCGTTGTATTTTTACGGAGCGCTGAACTGGCCTTATCACGTGAGGTTTCCAGTGTTTGGGATGGTGTTAGACTTTCTCATAATGCAAACATTAATATGTTCTTCACTTATTCTTTGCGCAATCAGTTTTGATCGTCACATTACTGTGAGATCCCCTCTACTTTATCCTGTGATTATGACTAAAAAGAAAGGCAGTATAGCTATTGCTCTGATTTGGCTGGTTTCGTCAGGAGTCGCCGCACTCAGTTTCATGGATCAACGATACGAAAAGAGGCCTACAGTATACATAATACCAGGTCTTTCCGTACCAATTCCATGTATGGCATTCATGAGCTACTGTTACTGGCAAATCTATAAAGTTGTTATACGTCAAAAGAAGCAAATCCAAGCTCAGAGCCCCAGCGCRTTCATAGATGAAGACACAGCAACGCGCAATACAAGAGGAACTGCAAACGCTCGCTTGAAAAAAGAGCGCAAAGCAACTATGACAGTAGCTATGGTTGTCGGGACTTTCATACTCTGTTGGTTGCCAAACATGTTGGTGTCAGTCAGTCAGTTTATCTTAACAGAAATATACATTTGTAATGCTTTTACATTTGGTGAATTCTGGCTGCTTTCGCTTCCAATATCRTTCATMAATTCTTTGCTTGATCCACTTATCTACGTTTTAAGAAACAATGAATTTAAATACGCTATAAGATTGCTGTTTTACAAGTCTTCCAATAGAGTCAATTTTGCTGTTAAATAACTAGCATTTAACCATTTTTAAATTTAACCATTTTTGATTCTTTAAAAAGAATTTACCACAATTTGTACTATATTCACTTCTGTATACAACGTACTTCAAATATTGTATTCAGGCTTTGAAAACGTTATTGAACCCTTGAGATTAGTCGGCTCTTGGRAAATCCCGCCGCAAATGTAGTTCTGAGTTTTTGTTCATTTCGTAATAAATCTTTTGCTATACTGATATTAAGGCTCAACGAACTCAGTACAGAGTACAGTACAATATATCCTGCGCGTGCAATATCGGTTTACGGTCCGATGACGCGAGCGTACGTTTTGTGTGTGTTGTTGCATTAATATACTCAGTGTTAGCACTTCGTCTATAGAGACTACTATAGCCAAATTATATCGTGTCTTAGCTGCGGACTTGCTTCTAAATATACTCTGTAAAGTTCATTTTTKGTGAACTTTACTTAAGCTTTTAACGTTTCATGACAATTGTGTATCGTGACCAGCTATAGTTTGTGTGCACTTGACGAATTATTTTCAAACATTGGAGAATTAAAAAAAAAAATCATTGTAAAACATGAAAAGATATGCGCTGTGATAGATCGTTAAGTCATTTTATCATTCAAAAACAGATTATAGCAATAGCGAAGGGAATTTCGCGATTAATTGTTGATTTTTCTAATTACTCATTCTATTTTGATTAATGGCAATATATGTGGAGACCCAACATGGCTGCYAAAATGCGAGCGAAAATCCCGCTGCGCGTGGCTCAGTGTGGTGCTCGGGTTTTGAGCCTATCATGCTCTTTTTTGACTACCTATCTTTTCGACATCAACGGGAATATATAAAAACTGGGAATAATCTTTATTGGTCATGATAAAAACACACAAAGGTAAATGAAATTAGAATGGACATTTGCGTCAAAAAGGTTGACTTTTCGTAAACAAAACTGCATTTAATATCCGGCTTTGAAGAACTTAAGTCAGTAGACTACGAAAATTGACAACTGTTTTTAAGTAATTATTGCCGATTCTATCTTTCTTGTTTAACAGCCGGTTACATAAGTGCCTATATTGTTTTAAGAAGCATCAGAATAAACTTTCATTTTGCCAATACTTATTGACAGGCAAACACTTCATTTTTCAAATGTACACCGAAAATTGCACTTGCTTTTTACTTTTGCAAACACATTTGTCATGCCAAGCTGACAATCTGTACTGATGCGATGAAGATATCCAAAGATACTCACTTTGAAKTGAAATGTTGAAAAGTTTGTTTTTTTGCTACCTTTCCATTTCCGTCGAGTTAAAGTAATGAAAATCATGCCTTGTTATTGAGAACGGCGATAGTATTTAGGATGAGACAGGGAACTGAATAAACTGTTGTTTTTCACTTGGCATGGTTGGGGATGGTGTTATCGTAACAACAAGTGTAGCTTATCTTCTTTCATATCCGTTTAGTTGGTAACCAGACAAGACCAGTCAAGACGGGRGGCAGTTATGGCCTGGATTGTCATTTTTCAGAAGATTGCTAGATTACTTTGAGTTCGGACTTCCACTCCTCTCTCATATATAACCAGGGTCGTTCAGGACAATTGTTTTCCTCTACAAAATGTTTTCCTTTCAACGATAAAAATTAGCATTCGATAATAAGTAAGAACTTATCAAAGGACTTTGATCAGGGAACATTCAAAACTAATTGAAGGATACTATATTAAACCATAAACTCGAAACTCGATTCAAAATAGCCTCTGTTGCTTTGATATGATGTTTAAATTAATACTTTTCTCAGGTTTTTCGAGGGATCATCTTTAACATGTAACTTTTTCTTGATTTTTCTGAGTTCCGGACCCAGCATACTTGTCAGTTTCAATAAAGATCCTCGTACCGCGGCGTCGTTTAAACATCTTACGAGCTAAACTTTGTTTCCGACGTTCAATACTGCCCTAATACATACTTATCTTCTCATCTCACTAAAATGGGAAATTAAAATAACCATATCAATCCTTTTTTCTGACATTCATCTTCATATTAAAGGCGTCTCTCATTATGATATAACTTTTCCAGGGAACACATTACTGAGACAGCTTTACCGATCCAACTTCATCAGTCTTGCATGTAAACCGCACGGCAACAAGAAATAAGCTGAGGAGGCCCAAAAGCTGTCCCTAGGGGGATTTGAAGATAGTATAAAAGTTTGAACTAATTCCTACAAAAATTTTGCTAGAAAAAAATTAAAAAAAGCAGGGTTGAAAACATCAAACTCTTTAATATATATACTGGTTCTCTTTTAAGTGAACCTTTTTTGCCTTTTKGGGAGGTACACGTGCTCTCTGTGCTCCCCTTTCACGTCTTTCCTTACACTAGCTCCGTCATCCAACAAAAGTCGGAATATAAAGCATAATATTTTACCTTGATCCCAGAAAAGAGAAATAAATGTGATTGAATTCTTATAAAAATAAAGGCGGCTAAATACGAGATACAAAAACCATCAACTTGGAGCGCAACATTGTTTCTGGGCAATAAAGTTTCTCGTTTTTCATGCATCGTCAACTTGTTATGCAACAAAAATACATCGTGAAAAACGAGAAACGAGAAACACCGATGCTCAACTTGAACAGAAACAATGTTTCGGCAAGTTGAGGGTTTTTGTTTCTCGTATTTAGCCGCCTTAAGCATACTCTTCTACACGAAAGCATACCGCTGATGTGTATCGGGGGCTTAACTGTAAAGTGATGCATTGTGGGTAGCCTGTCAGGCGGTTATTTTGAAAGTTATTCAGTTTGGGGTTCGTCGAGATTTTCGAATCCTAGACATCAATCTTTATATTTATTGTAAGGTAAGTGCTTTTCTTTAATATTATATTATTATTATATGAATGTGTTGCTTTGGTTTGCTTTGATAAGGTTTCTTGATGAGATATGCTTAATTTTTGTTCTGCAACATGTACAACGAACAAACTTCTTGGTCAAGTTTGATCAATGTGCATGAGCTTACTGAACTGTTTTAGATTTTTCTTTTAGACTGTTGTTTGCTTTAAAAATATTTTTTGTAATCCAGTTCCCCTATTATATATTTAGCTTATAGTTGTGTAACGAATGTTTCCGCGCGCAATAAAGTGTCCTGGAATGATAATTTTCGATACGTTCTCTTACCTCGATCAAAAGTTATCAAAATACATAGGTTTGTAAGAACAATGGCTTGTACAAAAAAGACAAATCGTCCTAGAGAGCAAAAGTTAACGCACATGCATGTTTTCAAAGTTTATAGATCTACAAATAATTTCAAAATATTTTATTTTGTAACAGCCAGTCCTGTATCATTCATATACTTACTTAACCTTACGTTTTACTGCCAAATAGTCCACGGTATRGCAACTATCGTGCAATGTTATTATACATGCAAATTAAAAACTAAAAACTTTTAGTCAATCATACTACTAATTAAATTTTAAGATCTGTGTTTGTTTTATTTTAGGTTAATAAGTACAGTAATTTCCAATTCATGAATTGTACATATAAGTTATTATAATCAAATATGCCTGAATCAAATGAGAAAACAATCCCTGTCCGAGTTGCTCTACGGATCAGACCATTGGTTTCAAGAGAAGTAGCTGATGGATGCCAAGAATGTATTTCAGTAACTCCAGGAGAACCACAAGTTGTCATGGGCAACGATAAGGCTTTTACTTATGATTATGTGTATGGCACGGTAACAAAACAGAGTGCACTCTATGAAGAAACTGTGCTACCRTTGMTCGAAAAATTATTCAAAGGATATAATGCTACAGTGCTGGCTTAYGGGCAAACTGGGTCTGGTAAAACATACTCAATGGGAACAAGTTTTACAACAGTRACAAACAGCACTGATAAAGAAAGTCAAGGTGTCATACCAAGAGTTGTCAGTGACATTTTTGAATATGTGCAAGAGAAGAAGGAGACTGAGTTTTTACTGAAATGTTCTTTTCTTGAGGTAAATTACTTGCAAGTCCAGTTTAATTTACTGGTTTACAATAATRTKTGAAGGGGAATGAAGTAATCTTGATGTTGGTTGTTTTCTTTTCCTTCTTCCTCACTTTTTGGGTTGGAATTTCCAAAAAAATGATGTGTCAAGAATATGTTTTTTTTATTTTAGATTCATAATGAGGAAATTCATGACCTGTTAAATCCAAATGCTTCTTCAGACAAGATAGCCATAAGAGAAAATGTGGAAGGAGGAATTAAGGTAATGCCTTAGAGTAATTGTGCATTGTATGTTTCTTAAACAAACTACATTTTTTGTACCACTGTTTTAGATTGCAGGCCTTTCAGAGCTCCAGGTTTCAACAGGAGATGAAATGATAAAGCTCCTCTGCAATGGCTCMGCTTCAAGAGCTACTGGAGCAACCGCCATGAACAGCACGTCAAGTCGCTCACATGCTATATTTACCATTGTGATGGAACAAAAAGATAAAAATGCAGAAGGGTAATTCACATGTGTACACATTGTGTAGTAAAGAGATGATAAAGAAATAAAATTTAATAAGTCTTTSTAATAATAAACCTGCACAGGGATGTAAGAAGAGCAAAGTTTCACTTAGTTGATTTGGCTGGTTCAGAGCGGGCTAAAAGGACCAATGCACAGGGAGAACGATTTAAAGAAGGTAACTTCAAATGCATGATTATAATAATCATCATTGAAGCGGTATGGATGTACAGTCAACTCTCGATTTTGTGGACAGTAAAATACTGAATGCCCGGCAAAAATACAAAGAAATGACTGAAAGTAACTCTTGTTACTATGGACTCTCGCTACTGCAGATACTAAATAATATTACAGTCCGTAATAGCGAGAATTGACTGTTTGTCACAAAAATCTTATAAATGTAATAAGTTTATATACTATTATAATCATTCAAGTTRGTTTTCCAATATGACTACAAATACAGCTATGTTTAATTCATAATAAATCTGTGTCAGGTGTGAATACTGATTCTTTACAGTTATTTGAATTCATTTTCTAATGGTTTATTCTCATTTATAAGGAGTCAATATCAACAAAGGTCTGCTGGCTCTTGGAAATGTTATCAGTGCTTTGAGTGATGAAAATAGAAAATCCAATGCTCATGTTCCTTATCGAGATTCAAAGCTTACTAGACTTCTACAAGGTGATWAAAATTTKCTCTGATAACCTGATTCAATTTTTTCACACAYAATKCCCAAACTATCATTTGCAAAAATTRCAAAAATCATGTGTTCATTAGTGTTCAATTATTCATAGAAATGCATGTTAAATGCTGATACATATTCCAGGTGTTGTCATGATAGTAATGATATTCCAGTCCATGTTATTGACCTCAACTTTATTCCAGGCATGGGCAGAAACTCACCAGTGCCAAGAAATTTTGACATTGCTTGTAGTAAAGAAGTCAGTCTGTGTATATCTTACTCATTTTCTTTGTCTCGTTTAGATTCATTGGGTGGTAACAGCAACACTGTCATGATAGCATGTGTGAGTCCAGCTGATAGTAACTATGAAGAAACCCTGAATACACTACGTTATGCTGACCGTGCCAGACAGATAAAGAACAAACCAATTGTCAATAGAGATCCCATGGCTGCTGAGATGTCCAGACTCAAACAACAAGTAATCATATTATTTTKTGATCATGAGTGTCTTTATTTAAGAAATATAAAGCARCGCAYGACTGTGTCTGTCCTCTGACTGATATAAACACRGTGGGAGTTCAAAAACACGAGAGAAGCAAAGTTAGAAATACAAGTGTAGTGAGAGACATGTATTTTCTATTTGGTATTAGGTGCAAATGCTCCAACTTCAGCTGCTTCAGGGACAAACCATTAATGGAGGTTTGTCAGAGGGGTAAGTTTCACAATAATCTTCATACTCTAAATGATTGATTAGAAGGTGTTAATGAGAAGAAACACTGTTTTGAACAACATCACATCTCATGCATGCTCTCTGCTGGAAAGAGAAGAATGCTACGCCTTGGCCCACTTGAGTTTTGAACATTTTATGACTTCGAAAGTGYGACACTGTCAATAGCGGAAATGCAACCCAAAWTCTTAATCTTAGTCTATTTCGGCTCACTTGAGTTTTGGACATTTTATGACATCAAGAGTGTGTCTATAAGAGCTAGRACACACAACTGAAAATGTGCTTAGTCTATTTTAAAGGTTGGATATAGATTTGTTTCCTTTTCCTTATCCCATGGCTATGTCTTAATTCCACTCTCCTTATTAACTGGGTCCTGGGTATTATAATACGGCACTAATAATGTGCATCTTGTTGTATTAGACTCAGCCTWCAAGAAGTTGCAGATCGAGTAAAACAGCTAGAGGTATGCTGTGGTGTTTTGTCTGAAAGCCCAAATATTGTCGTGAAAACTGCACTTGTTTGTGAGGCCATTTATGTTTGGCAACAAGTTGAGAGGGTAAAAACTCAATGACGTGACAAAGTTAAGCAGTTGACCTTGACAACATTTGAGTTTTGACATCAAAATGTGTCTCAAAGTTTTAGCTTTGTGTCTCAAGTGAATGAAGTTATCTTTCTTAAGATTAAGTCATGTTTGATTTTTTATTAGGAGGAAAACATGAAGCTCAGTCAAGAGTTGCACAACTCTGTGAATCAAAACACAACATTGTATGAAAAGGTYCTTATGGTAAGCTAGTTTAGCTTGGTCAAAATCATTACTGACTATAGTGTAGTATTATGCAGTGAAATCATATAATGAGAGGATTGGTACAATAATAACAGGATCCATCACTTTACACTGTACCTACCTCAAGATTTAACAGATAATAGAAAACAAATTGAGAAGTTTCAGTCTAGAATAATAGTCCAAAAGCCATACTTGGTATTAATCAAAAGACACAAAGGAAATAATGGATATGGTTCATCCTGTTGTGATTGTGTGTGTGCTCCACATCTTAGCATGTCAGATATGCATCAKTCACAGAGTTTTCATTAGAAGCCTGGTGAAATACAGCATCTATTTTGATTTTTGGGTTAGCTAATTTTGYCAAATTATGGTTGTAGACCTTTGTATCACATGTCCCTTATGATTCCAATATGGTTTAATGTTTGATGAAACACTTCCATAATAATATAAAATAGATAAATTTTTCCTTTATTAATCACAGGCTGAATTAACAAGAGATAAAGTCGTAAGACAGTATGATGAACTCAAGCACTATTTAACAAATAATAAGTAAGTAAAATCATTTTAATTTACATATCAATGACTGGAGACTCCTYGCAGTCATTTCTTGTGTGGTCTCCTTAGTCCTACTGGCTGCGATGAGTCTACAATGACTGGCAGTAATTACATTTTCCATGCAAATGGCTACAACTATTAGATTTTATTTTTTCAGAGTAAAACTCATGCCAAGCTTGATAGAAACCACCAGTGAAGATCATGAAGAAACTGACTTGGCAACAGAACTGCAAAAGAAGTTTCATCAGTTTGAGGTATATGAATCTCTTAAATATTATTATATGTAATTCTAACATATAACGTTTGAATTATTAATAAATTTGATAGAACATCAATCCATGCTTGGTTATGATGAAAATAAAATTAAATACTAATTATAAATTGTTTACTTGTTATAAATATCAGGAAAGTTGTATGCCTGAAAATGAGCAAAACAACAGCCAAGAAACAATAACTCATGTAGAAAATGTAAGTCAATAATCTATTGTCTGCTATTATATGTTTGATAATATTGTCATCATCATCATCATCATTATCATCTTCAAACCTTTTTGTCACAGGATCACAAATGTGAAGGCGATGCTAGTATGGATCATGGTGCATCTGTTTTGTCTTCTTCCATGAACAGTTCGTTTGAGTCACAGCATGCTCTACGACAGGCCGAACTTGGACGACAAGTCCAGGAGCTAACAAAAGCGCTTACTATGAAACAAGAATTAGCTGCAAAAATGCAGCAAAATGAAGGAGCTATGAATGAGAAAATGCTYAAGCAGTATGAGGTAGAGTTTCCCTATCAAATTAACTACAGAATGAGGAGAATGAGGAATATTTAACTTAAGTGTTTTTTGGTGTCGTGAATGGTAAAAAGAGCGCGGAAACAAAGAGGATTTTTACAAATCTACTTTCCATCTTTCTCTATTTGTCTTATAGGTAACAGTCCGTGATCTCGAGGCAGAAATAAGTAAGCTTGAGCAGCAAAAGGCAGAACTTTCMCAGGCACTTTCTGCTGCAAAGTCATCCAACAGTGAAGGGTATGGCACATTCAGTCAATTCTAATTCATATCGCATTACCACGGCTTATACTGGTTCTTGTCTTAGTTTGGGGATGCTCCTTGAAATGTAACCATATACATGTACATGTATACACAAGGGAAAACATCTTTAACATTTCACTCTTATAATAATTTGAGTGAAGAGAACAGCCACTGATCTTGAACATTTTTAATATCATCTATTTTCCATAGTGATTCCAGCAAGAGTAGACTTCGAATTAAAGAACTAGAAGCTAAAATAACTGAAATGAAGAAGAAACAGGTTTGTAGCCAATGAGTGGTTAATTGTCTTAATTGGACGGCACTGTCAAATATTTAGTTTGTGTGGGTATTTAATCACATTAGCTTCTAGCGTAGTCAATAAGTCAGGCAACTTTCGGCAACTTTACAATCTCTGTAAATACACACGAAACTAACAAAGGAAAAACACACAAGAAAGCTTCTTGAATTATATATTTTTTTGAAAGACCATTTCAAATTCTCGCTAGATTTTAAAGTCTATGAAGTAATTAATCGCTATCATTTAATTTTTTATCTCCATTTTTAATACAGGTCGAGCTACAAAAACTTCAGCGTTTGAAACAACAAAGTGACTCAACGATAACCAAACTCAATACAGAAATTCACGTAAGAAGAGCAACTATTTCTAGTTTTTCTGTATGATGGACATCACAGAAATTGTTTTAAGTACAATCTTTTTTAATTTAGAACATGAAATCTACTCGAGTAAAACTAATGCGTCAAATGAAAGAGGAATCAGATCGATTTCGAAATCTGAAGAARGAAAAAGAGAAAGAAATCATGCAATTGAAACAAATGGTAAATAACTATTGGTTCTTCTGCCAAACTTGAACAAAAATTCTCAGTAACAAATATTGTTTTTCAGGATCGGAAACGACAATTTCAATATACAAAGCTACAAAATATGCACCAAAAACAGCAAGCAGTGTTGAAGAGAAAAACTGAAGAGGTACGTTGACGTTGTGATATAATTATTAATATTTAATACAATACATGTAGCTTAAAATGAAAAAGTCCTAAAAAAGCGTCGTTTGCGGCAATATTTTGTTTCTTTGCAAGAGTAAAATATCAACTTTTAAACATTTTTGCATTAAATTNCCATTTTAAGTTCTCGCAGTACACTTAATTTTGTCTCCAATTTTAATATAGGTCGAGCTACAAAAACTTCAGCGTTTGAAACAACAAAGTGACTCAACGATAACCAAACTCAATACAGAAATTCACGTAAGAAGAGCAACTATTTTTAGTTTTTCTGTATGATGGACATCACAGAAAGTCCGAAAAAAATCAAATAGACTCAGTTTCTTTGTCTATTTTGTCTGCCAAAACTAATTGTTTGAAGTACAATCTTTTTAAATTTAGAACATGAAATCTACCCGAGTAAAACTAATGCGTCAAATGAAAGAGGAATCAGATCGATTTCGAAATCTGAAGAAAGAAAAAGAGAAAGAAATCATGCAATTGAAACAAATGGTAAATAACTATTGGTTCTTCTGCCAAACTTGAACAAAAATTCTCAGTAACAAATATTGTTTTTCAGGATCGGAAACGACAATTTCAATATACAAAGCTACAAAATATGCACCAAAAACAGCAAGCAGTGTTGAAGAGRAAAACTGAAGAGGTACGTTGACGTTGTGATATAATTATTAATATTTAATACAATACATGTAGCTTAAAATGAAAAAGTCCTAAAAAAGCGTCGTGTTTGCGGCAATATTTTGTTTCTTTGCAAGAGTAAAATATCAACTTTTAAACATTTTTGCATTAAATTTTAGAATAAGGTAAAATCGAATAATATGTGTTGTACATGTATCTTGGAGATTTCCGCGAGCCAGTTTGCTGGTCAKAACTTTTTGTTTTCTAAAAACGTCTCTACTCATTTCAGGCTGCAGCCGCTAACAAACGTCTCCACGACGCACTTTCCAGGAGAAAAGAGGCAGCGGAAAAGAGGGAAAAGAATCAAAGTCTTCAAAACAAACAATCTGATGGCCTTATTCCTAGAATGAAGGTAAACTCTACATGTACAGTATCKTATCAGACTTTTTTGTCTCAGATATCTACAATGAAATTTGAATCGGGAATTTTCACGCTGGCTAACCGACTTGATGTTTCAAAATTATGTGAAGGATGGACTCAGTGCAAAATTACACGAGTATATGTTTGCATTCAAGCTGAGCAAGCTGTTGAACTTATCCGTAAATGTGTTTTCCCTACTGATTTATATGCTTCGTTTCAAATACCGGCCAAGAAAGAGGCGTTCTTTCAGGCGTTCTCTAATCACCTTTGTTAACTCCCCTGACAATGGCTGCATGTAATGCACCTGCAAATGTAGTAGCTTTACAACTCGTACGTTTTTCTATCYAGTCGTGGTTGAGCCATGAAGTTGAGGTACTTGCAAGTATCGGCCATGCTAAGAAGACCTTGGAGGATCTTATCGAAGATCGCAAGACAATTTCTCATCAGTTAAACGAACTGCGCGAGCAAGATGTCGAYCAGCCTCCAGCAAAGGTAGGAAACATTAATGTTCTTTGTTACATTCAATGCTGAAAACGTATATAAAGTCTTGAAAAACATTAGTAATTAGAAACAACAATGACAACTACTGCTACAACTAAATATTAGCATGCATGAACAACGCAACATTGATAAAAAAGCAACTATAACAACMATAAAAACGCAGGAATGACATCGAGTATACAGCACATAATAACAACAACAACAACAACAACACCAACAATCAAAAATAGTAACAAACAAAAAATTATGTCACAAAAGTAAGAATTTTTGTTCATTCTTTACCAAAACAATGTTTTTTAGAAAATGTTTCCGATGAAAGATACTTCTGAAGAAGAGAAGAAAGGAGAACTAGAGAATCAGACSAAAATCAAATCACTCGAAGCAGAACTTACAATCAAGTAAGAACACTCGAGAGTCAACGGGTATATTATGCAACCCCTTCCAGACTACCAGGAATTCTGTCCACTCCTGGAGTATAACCCATTGATCCCCAGTAAACTGGAGTTCTATAACTACCGAGCCTATGTCTGTTATTAATTATTTTTGTATTTTTGCTTGTTCTCAGGACATCACAAATCGGAGAGCTTCAGAAAAAACTTATTGATGCCGAGTCTAACGGTAATCAATCCATGGATTGATTTATTTTGACGACAAACAACATGTATTGCATCTTTATACAACAACATTCTTTCTAAAACTTTCAGTCGACAAATCTAAGCATCGCTGGAATAACATTCACACAATGGCTGAAGCAAAAGCGAGTTTGCATGTATTGTTATCGATGGTAAGTGTGTTGACTATTTGTTTTTTTCTAAAGGTCTGTTTTCTCTTAGAAAAAATAAGATGGCGAATAATCGTAATAAACGTTTTTGACAAACAATAACACAATTCTTTTTGAAGGCTGTAGATGCAAAATCGAGGCAGATAAACACTGAGAAGGACTTCGATGGAAATCAAAAAGAATTGGACGAGCTCCGTCAGAGTACAGAGGTAACATCAACAGTTGTTCGAACAGCTCATKAACCAAACGGAGTGCCTGCTTGCATGTCCAATTGCCATTGCAATCTGGGAATGCAAGGGTGGATCAAGGGGGAGGGTCAGGGGGACGAGATTCTGCCATACCTAAAGCTCATCTGAATAACTTCTAAATTTGGCAATCTAAATCTAAAATTCTAAATCTGCCCTTGGAATGCATGTATATAAATCTCTGTTTTCCTTTCATGTAGTGTTTGGTCAAAAATCACGCAAAGCARCTGGATTTTCTTCGAAGCGATTACGACAAGAGAGTTGTTGTCCTTCAGAAAGAACACGAAGACAAAGTAAGTATGGTTTTAATTCCCAACAAGTATTCACGCACTCATCATAGGCGTGCCTATCTGGTTTTTCTTATCAACTGCGCTTGCAAGCTATTCGCTTCATAAAGCTCCAATGTTGMAATGTTGTGGTCTGAAGTATTGTCTCAACATGTAAAAACGGAAGTGAATGATGTTTTTCCAACTGGCAAATTAAAATGATATTGACTGTAGTTCTATTCAATATTATTGAACACAAGTTTTATCTATTTCAGGTTTTACTTCTTCTGCAACAATTGCCGACGGAAGAAGAAAAGGGCGAGTTATCTCGTCTTCGTGAATTGATTCATGTCAAGGTACTGATATGTCGCTGGTAAAAACAAACGCATCATCATTCACACGTCGAATCTTACATTTGCCGTATTCGTCCAGAGTTAGTAACTAACTCTGATTCGTCTTTCTGCTCACTGTTCTGAATCATCTTTTATTTACGTTGAACTGATGCTTGTGAGATTCAACGTTTGACATTGACTTGGTTGAAAAATGTGTCATTTGTTTGAATTCAACCTCCATCGAATCTGTGCTTAAAGTTTGCTGTTAGTTGTTCAAAGRAAAATATTGATAAATAATATAATGTGTTTGGTAGGACAACGAACTTGMAGAGAAACAAAAAGAGAATGACATACTGCAACAGGTACTTAAGTATTTATTGAAATTATGAAAATGTTTTCTATTTTAGACAGCATTTGGGGTGTTATTGTTTCAATGTCGCTTGTCAACTCTGTAAACATCCACGAATTTGCTAACTTATAGGTATTTATTTAATTTCTTGACAGCGTTTTGCAGCCTTTTCTGATGCTTTGTCTAATGAAACAACATCCATTATCGAAATGTCAGACTCTTCGGAAATCGCATCTCAGGTAATCATACGCTATAATGCACTAACTTTTGCTATTCTCTTTATTTTCGGTTTAAACTGAATATCTCTATTATTGATCAGTAAAGCACTTCTTTCTAAATGAATTGCATAGTATAATTCAAACACCTGGTTAAACAACGAAATCTTGTTATAATCGCTGTTCTCGCTTGCTATAACATCAAAAATTATGCACTTTCTTCATATTCTTTTTTTATTAATTCATTCAAATGACTTGAATATTTTGAATCATCAAGGATGAAAAAGAGGATGAAAAAGAGGATGAAATTGTAATTGAAGATATGGAAGATATAGAACCCTTTGAAGACGCTGCAGATGATCTAACCTTGGACCCTGACTATGTGTTTGAYCCAAATGAGGCGGCAGAGACACCCCTACAAYCAGGAAAAAACAAAAGAACCTCGCTTGCACAGTTAGAAAAGAAGAAGAAAATCCCCATGAATTTGGAAAAGAAAGTACCATCCATTACACCTGTAGGTTTTTGTGAAATAACACATGACTTGTTTAACTAGTTGAACTCGTGAAGACATTCCAATAATTGCAAAACAAAGTTAGAATTGAATTCTTCTAAAAAACTTCACTGTCTTTTTTCAGGGAGGCAGCTGTGTATGTACCGGGAAATGTAAACGCAATTGTAATTGCAAGAAGAATTCTTCRTTTTGTACACCTGGGTGCAGATGTAAACTAGGGAAATGCTGCAACAGACCAAAGGTARRGCATCRGTAGAACGGCAAACCCGAAGKTCGTGGGTTSGAATCCCTGCGGGGTCGGAAACTAATTTTTCCGAATTTATTTCCGGGGGCTTTAGCCCGGAATAACCGCCTTTTTCAGCAATCTRACTTTCCATTATTTGTAGTTRATTTTTARCTGAATTGATTATTGATTGCAGATYGTTTGATTKAATTTTTTTTYTATAGGATCCAAAAACGCCCATCATAGAAGACTCTTCTGATTCCGATTTATCAATCGAAAAAGAAAACTTAAGTCCACTGGTGTCAGAGAAGCCATCATTAAAAGATAGCCATGTCCTTTCAACAGTAGTAAATTCTACRGTAACTCCAAAAGCACAAAAGAGCAAAAAACCAACAGTTTCTAAGAAGACARTATCAACATCAAAAGACAGAGAAAATAAACTTCAGTCATTACCATCAAGTTCCACAAAAAATGATAAATGGCGTAAAATACGACGAAAGTCGGGCGTTCTCTCGAAAAAGCAAGGTATCAGRACSACATCAGTGACAACCACTCCACATCGCTCGCTTCTTAAAACTCCTGGCTTTAGCTTTACACCAACCAGAACATTAGTCAAGACACAAAAACCACAAGGGAATACGAAAAAGAATGTGGATGGACAAGCTAAACAGCGCAAGAGAAAACTTCACAATCCTTCCTTGCCTGCTGCACAATTAGTGTAAGCAGAACTTGCTATCTAGCATCCCATGATGCAATTGCGTATTTACAAAGTATCGACAAGCGTTGCTTTGTCATAAATTTTTGTTTTGATGTGATAAGTTATTGCAAAACATAAGGGCATACGAAAAAGAATGTGGATGGACAAGCTAAACAGTGCAAGAGAAAACTTCACAATCCTTCCTTGCCTACTGCACAATTAGCGTAAGACTTAGGATGATACCAAACATCCCATGATGCAATTAGGCATTCACTATGTATGGACATTGCTTTGTCATGAATTCTTCTGATAAGTTATTGCGAAAGCACTTTTTATAATCTGTATATTGTTAATGTGCATGTAATATAGGTGGAATTGTATATATTCTCTGTAGGAATTAAAAATAATAATTATTCAGTTTACTGAAAGAGTATTCAGTTTGGGTCACTTGAAATACTATGTTTAACAAATTGCACATGGTTTTGAGTTGTAATTCCTCTTATTGACACACTCTTGACGTCATAAAATGTTCAAAACTCAATGCTCTAACCCTGCAGTACATCCTCTGGTTACTCGCAGCAAGGAACAAGTAATAAAGGATGAGATCTGCTTTTTTGACTAATGTTCTAGGGTATATTATCCACTGGGTTACATTGCAATTGGCCTTATTTCAGAACTTCAAGCAATACACATGACTCATTTAAAACAATTGCAGGAAAATATTTGTTTTGGAATTACTCCACATCAGAGAAATTTTGATTCAAATGATAGAAGAACAAAAGGATCGAGTAAATGACGTCATCTACTCCAACATTTTTTGCCAAAATTATTAAGGATTTGTATCAATATCTTCTTGAAATCTGTWGCTTCATGATTATTAGACCCATATGGATAGGTCTATTTGATTTCCAAGTCTTTTAATGTTTTGCGATTTTCTAGCATACATCTCAGTCACCCTTCATACTATGGACCCTATAATTTTCCATAGCATTTAAAGATTTAAACAGCAACTGAGAAAATTGTTTATTGAGTAGTGTATTCCAAGGTTGATGGTAAAAACTATCACATGGAGACATTTTATTTTCAACTTTAAAAAAATAACTACAATTTCGAGTATACATTTACAATACAATTGTTTTTTTTTGGAATACAAATCCTGCTATAATAGAATTCACAAACCATGTTCTCRTAGAGTGGTTGCAATGCTATTCCTTTTTAAGGATTCTCTGGAAAAAAAAATGCTAGAGATAAGATGGGAAAGATGTAAAACACAGTTCAAAGCCTGAAGGCCTGTTTATACTGGCAATTTTCTGTCATACATATGCTGCAATTTTTCCAGCAATTTTTCTCTGACAATTCACAATGATTTCAGAGTGAAAATGAGTCACCAATTTGCACTGAAATTTCGAGCATGTTCAAATTTGCTGTGATAAACCTGTGAATTTGCTGCCAATATTGCACAACAAATTTGCTAGTGTAAACTACATTGTAGGCTTTAAGTTCGATCTTTAGGATCAGGAATGTATAAAGTTCTAGTCAATTTGAAATGGCCTTTTTATACAACATGATTTCCACCAACTTAAATCTTGCCTATTTAAGCAAGGACTATATGTTCAAAATTACAGATCTTGCTGTCATTTGAGCATGTGGAATGACCACATGCTTGACTTTTTGGCAAGTCWTTTGAAACATGTTTCAGCAGAATGTCATTGTGTGAAACATTGGCAAGATTGTTTTCAATTTCTGTTTCAATTTCATTCAGTCTCTTCCAAGTTGCCCAGTTACTTTCAATGATCATAGTRGTAAGTCCTCTAGGTTTTCTATCCTTTGAACGCCTAGTATCTACAAGGATCTTTTCAAAGTCCTGCATACTTGATTCACTGTACATGTTGTAGATGGGTGATGGAAAAGGRCACAACGAAAACAACACATAGCAACAAAGCAGTCTGCTTAGTCTACCATTCCCATCAGAGAATGGATGCAAATCGAGAAGTTCGAACACTAACCAAGCTACACATTTGAAGACACTAGCTACTTTCTCCTCTATTGACGACAGGCTCATGGATTGGGTGAACAGAGAGTTAAAACGATCTAAAAGTGTACACACGGCCGCCATCATGTCATCCGGCTGCTGATAGTAATAAGTTTCACCATTAAATGTCGTAACACGAGGATTATTACAATAAACTCCTGGTTTTGTTGAGCTTTTATGAACTGGGATATTTCTTAGAATGATCTTATTGACTTCCCGAAGCATCGATTCCTCAAGCAAACCGCGACATTCCTCCGTAGCTGTTTCCGCTTGCCTTCGCAAAAACAAATATGCATCTCGTAAATTCAAAGTTTCTTGTTCTTCAAGCGATAAATTTTGRCTAGATAAATCGTTTGATGATGATAAAAACTTTTCTACACTCTTAGAATCTTTCAACCCATGATCTTCATCGACATTACAATGAWGGAAAAATTTCGCTTCAAGTTGGCGAGTAACGTCATCAACAATGGCCGAGTCCAAAGACTCTTTTTTTGAGTMCCATTTTTGCTTGAAAATGGCGATTTCTGTTATCATTTCTCGAGTCATGGGACACATACTTGATTTTGTTCGCCAGTGAGCGTCATCTAGTGGCTGGAAATCGATTATATCGGCGACAGTAGACCGAAAATGTTTCTTTTCAGAAGCCATTTCGTCACTTCTAGTGGGGCGATGGCGGGATTTCAAACGGCACGAACGTAATGGACATTCCCGGCAGGCTTTGCGGAAAACAGTAACCTGGCAACATGCAACAGGAATCCCAAACTATGGGAGTCTTAATAAAGTACCCTACGAACAGAGGATTTTTCCACTAGATAGCGAAAAAAAATCCTCTGTTCGCAGGGTATAGATAAAACTATGGCATAACATAAGGAAATCATGACACTGCTTATGTTGAAAAATGTGTGAACGTCATAGTGTGCAATGGGTCTAAAAAGACTGTAAGGGACAGGTACAAACCCTTCTCAAAATCCTAACGCAAAGTAAGTTAAGATCAAAGGACATTTTTGCATGTTAAGCTATAAGCTCACCCATTAAACGAAACTGTCAAATTAACAAAAATCAAATTSAAAAAAGAATACTGAAAATCATCCATAGAATATTTTAATTATTTGAATCACTACTGTCCTCTTGGAACAACTGTCTACAAAGATTAACTTATATTGTTTGTTATCATGCTTAAAATTAAACATCAAGAATTGAAAAAGTTATACAAGACCTTCAAAAAAGTATCATGTGATGTTTTACTCAGGTGTTCATGGTAATTTGATTACYTAGCCCCAATAAATTTGATACAAAAATGTTACTGGAGTCAGTGGTTTCCATAAATCTGTGGGCTTCTTTAGCATACTGCATTTTAATTAATTAATGTTGATTTGTGGGTTAATAAAGAGGCAAACATGTAATAAAGACTAAAGTAAAGACACTAAACAGACTTTAATCTGCCATGCTTGGTAAAATACATGAGGCGACTATAAATTTACATAATTTATGAGTAATTAATTTCAACCAATCAACAATTAACAATACTTTTATATTTATGAGTAAAGTGAAGWGAAACATAATTTGCTAAGTCAAATAGACACAAAAGGATAAACTATTGTGAAATTATATGGTAAATTATACAACCTATTTCATATTTCTTACAATCACACAATTTACTACACTTTGACTATTTCATTTTTTCATGAGTTTATGAAAACCACCTTATCCTAAGATAGCTTCTATGACTATAAAGTACCCAGTGGCTGTAAACAATACAAATTCTAATACACTAGACGTGATAATTTCATTTTAGTATCCGCAAGGCCAGCAGATTTGATCTATGGCATGCTTATTCAAATTCTAATTATATTAGCTATTTTTTTAATCTACTAAAACTTTTTAGTCTCTACTAAAACCTAGTGGTATTCATGTGAATGACCAATTATTTCTGATAAAATTATATAAATATATACAATTAACTTAAAATAGTCTATATTGCATTGTGCAATGTCTGCAATTTTCACTATAAATTACTACAAAAACTACTTTTTTGCATAAAAATGCTTATGTTNTTCCTTGGATGTCTGTCAGGCTCTACTAGTATGGTCCTTGCATCAACCAATGCTTGCTCGTAATCATCCTTGCAAGGAAAATCACAAAATTTATGATCTTGAGGATCCTCTCTGCATGCTTTGTAGATGGGACAAGGGAATGGGCCAAATGGATAGGATAGGAAAAAACTGCAGAGAGCTCTAAACAGCCGACCATTGGCATCACAAAGTGGATGGAGATCGAGTATTTCAAAAAGGAACCAGGCACAACTCTTGAAAATGCACAGTTGTATTTCTTCCTTGTTGACCTTTATAGCCGACGAAAAGTAGAGGGCATTGAACTGTTCTATAATGAGGGAGAATTGTCTAGACATTCCATCTGTTTCCTCTGGGAAATCTTGGTACCAATATATTTTACCCTTATATGTGGTACATTTTGGCCGGTCACTCAGCTGTCCAGGTTTTGTGTACTTTTCTGGAAGACGCACTTGCTTAAGTAAAATCTTGTGGCCCTCTTTCACACTTTCTTCATCGAGGAAAATGTCATTTTTTTCCTCGGACGTATAAAACCTCTCGATGCAATCGAGAAACTCGATCAAGTTTTTGGTTTGTAGCTTGTTTACGTCTCTAGGTCCGTCGGTGTTCAGCATAGCGTATTCTTCTTTAAATCTCTGCCTAACTGAGTCGATTTTCCCTTGCATTTTAGGATTTTCTTCGAGTGATTCGTATTTTTTTTTGAAGTCGATGATTTCGGGAATCATTTTGTCAATCGATGGAATATTTGCCATGGCCTTTGGTTGGAATGAAATCAAATCATCCAAATTGAATATCGCCGACGCCATGTGGAGGAATGTCCAAAGAACGGTTCTAAAGCCTTAACCAAAGCCAACTGCTGTCACCGCTATAGCAAAACGTCCTTCTCCGTCTACGAGCTTTCCACAGACTGACGAGTATAGAAGGCGCCTCGGATTTAATATATACACAAACAAACTTAAAAGCACCGCCAGCTTAATGTCCAATCAAATCTTAATGATTTGTCACGTGATATGTATGAAGCCAAGTGCAGCATGCATGAGCCCGCACCATTTATGGCAGTTTGTAAATTTAATGTTTTATAGGACACGGCTCAAAAACCGCTGATTGGTCAATCCAAAATTGCAATTGCTCATGCGCACTTGCTTTTTCCGCTGAAATTGTGCGGGCTCTATTGAAAAAAATGGCGGACGAAGAAGAGTGTTTTATGGTTGTGACAAAGGAATATGGGCATAAGAACGTCTTGTTCAATCGTAATTTGACAGTTTTATTAAAGGAATAGATGGAAACTACTTCTTGCTTCCTTTTAGAGAAGGAATCCGATTTAAGAACGAAATAGAAAGACCACTACTTGGAAGCGAAAGGCGGCCGATCACGAGTATGCAACTGAGTTAACTCATTTTCTTTTGAAAGCTGTATTACAGTCCAGATCTTCGTTTGTAAATACGTTTTCCGTTTCTTCAAAAGTTGGTAATTGCTAAAGAAATCTTTTTTTAAGGTTGGATTCGAGTAGAGTTTTTTTTAGTTTTTAAAATCTCTATGTCAGTATTCGTATAAGTATATTGCACTATTTTCTGGATAATTCTTGTTCGTTTCAAATTAGTTCAATGATGCTTTAAATGACAAAAAACTGCTATTCATGGTAATATTTGAAATTTATTTTGCCAAGACCCAAAAGTCACACCTGAATGACAGACTGAAGAAGTTCAAAGTGACATGATTTACTGTCAGTGTCATGTCACTGTCAACAAGATTCCATGAAATAAGTGGATTAAAAAAATTAACATGGTCTCAAATATTGTAAGATTCATTCAAAACATCATTATGCTTGTATTTACAAAAATATGATCAGAAAGGTAAAACATTATCAAGACATTGAATTTGGAAACTTTAGATTTGTGTATTCTCAATATTATTATGACTGTTGTAGCTSCTGCTATGCCAAATAGCAATGCTGGAACAAAGTGTTTTATGAATTATTGATTTATTTTCTGTAATGTCTTGCACTTAGAGCAGAGTCAGTTGAAACATGAAATAGAAACTAAATACTTTAGCACTATCACTGAACCAGAACAGTACAAAGAGATTACTTTTATTGTTATAGTCGTCTCTTGGATATTGCTTGTTGGATCATTCTGGTTCAGTGCTAATGATTATTAGAAACTAATAGTGCCTAAGTACCTTTTAGTTCTTATTCCATGGCTCGTGTGACTCTGCTCTATAATAGAAGTGTAAACTAAAAAACTTGTAGATGTGTGGATCATATTATTGTTGGCTCTTACTAATAATGAAAATGTTCTTTTCTAAACAATGATCAGAAACATGAAATAAAATAATAAATATATGAAAATTGCATTCTCAAAATCAAGAACATGACCAACTTGGCTAATAAAATTGTTTGATGGAGTGCTATGACTATACATGAGAGAGAGAGAGAGAGAGAGCTAACAAAAATATTGCTGTTATTGGGCTGTCACAATTTTCATCAACCCCAAAACTGCACATCACTGGCATCACAGGCTATTTCATATTTAATGCATATACTCTCATTGATTTTGACATGATTTTGATGTATTTAAACTATTACACTGGATACACTTTATCCATAGAAGTGTAAACAATTGAAAACGAAGGAATTAGCACAATTTTTAAAAACTAAATAGTTCTTATCAATTAGTCACTATTTTGTACATTCCGTCCATTTTCTTCTGACCACTGTTTTCGCTAGTATACACCATATATATTAACATACCAAGGCCGTTTTGCATTTGGATGAAGGGAAGGGCTTCAAATTTGTCATTATTTCGAGTAATTTTCGAGCCGCCATTACTTTGAACTGATCTGACCATAATCCTTTGCAATCGAAGTTCAAAGCGGAAGTGATGTCACTGACTTAACCCACGAACGAGGCTACACTCACATGGCTAGAGAATGTATACAAACATAGCGACATTCCTACAACAACGTAGATTTTTAGATATAAAAACCTGTGATTCATTATGTCCGACAATAGCTGTGTTGTACAGGTCTAAAGCAACGTCTCCGCGCTAGTAATTTCTATTCACAAATCCCCAATCAATGAAAAATACGTCGGCAATGGGTCGGGTTTTTAGGACCATTGCGCAAGCTTTCGTTGTTCGATGCACTTTGAACAAGAGTGATTCTACAGATTCTTCGCTAATTGAAGCTTTTAATGAACCCTTATATGCTGTTTCGACAATTTGGGAGATAGAAAAAGAATCCAACATTTGCTCCGTGCGAGAAAGACGAAAGGTGAGGGACAAAATAAAATAAAATTTCTCGCAAAATCGCATTCCAAAATGTGAGTTATTTTTTTTTGCTTTTCTTACACCAAGTGATTTTTTAAAATTCTAAATTTAAAAATTTCTCTGAACCTGAAAACAAGAAAAGGTGTAGGCTATCGAGTTGTACAATAGTGATGGTTAGAAATTCCTGCAAGTGTCTTATCTCAGAAACATGTTTTATACTATCTTTTACAGAGGTTCCCAATTGACCTCTGTGCACAGTACAATGGACCAGCCATCTCTTTTTTGTAAGATTATAATCAATGTATCTAATACTATCAAGTCCATTTTTGCTTTACATCCTCTTGAAATGTAACTGTGCCTTTGCAACAAACTGAGATGACTATTGAGCTTGCAGTGATAGAAGCCACTGAATAATTGTGCAACAGTATCTATCACATTGCACTCTCTTACTTTAAAAAAAGTAGGATTGTATGATACCCTCTATCAATATATATCTTTTGATTTGTTATTTTTCTCCATTTTTTCTACAAAAATGTGATGCCTTAGGATTAGTGAAGATGTACTGTCAGACAATAAAATTCAGATATCTCCAGTATCAAAATGTGCACATGTCAGAGGCATGAAAAACTTGTAAAACAGCTGAAAACAAAACAATGGCTAGAAACATTTTTATACATATAAACAAAAATGCTGAAATGGTTGTTATGGTAGGTGAATGTATTAGTATTAATCAATTATCAAGAAAATAGTAAAACAATCTGATAGTCATGAGGTGAATTTGTACCATTCTATAGCAATGAGGATCATTGATT